GCCTCCTCAACGGGAGCAGCAGGTTCTTCAACAGCTTTTTCTTCGACAGCCTATTGGAATCAATATCAGCTACCCGACACAAGGCTATAAGCCGAGGGAACTTACTGGAGCAGCAGCTTCAGCTTCAGGGGCAGATTCATGGTGGCCAAAGACACCAGCAAGTCCAGCACCAGCGGCAGCGAGACCTCCAATACCAGCAACACCAGCAATACCAGCAATAGCACCAGTACTCAAACTGTGGTGTTCAGCCTATACGATGATGTCTTGTAAACGATCTGATAAAAGTATTTGAAACTCCAGTGATCGACTTACAGTTGGAGCAGCTTCCTCCTCAACGGCCTTCTCTTCGACGGCTGGGGCAGCTACCTCCTCAACAGGGGCAGCGACTTCTTCTACCGGGGCAGCTACCTCCTCAACGGGTGCAGCTTCCTCAACAACTGGCTCTTCAACCTTTGCAGCTTCTTCGACTGGAGCAGCTACTTCCTCTACTGGGGCAGCAACTTCTTCTTCGACTGGAGCAGCAACCTCCTCGACAGGTGCAGCTTCCTCGACAGCCTTCTCTTCGACTGCTGGAGCGGCTTCCTCCACAGGTTCTGCGACTTCCTCGACCGGTGCAGCTACTTCTTCTACAGGAGCTTCTTCGACGGCCTTTTCTTCAACGACTGGAGCAGCTTCCTCGACTGGAGCAACTTCAGCGACTGGTTCAGCAACCTTTTCTTCGACAACCTATACAAAGAAATTCAGTTAAATGTGTTGTGGGGGACAAAAAAAAATACAAACACATACAGGTGCAGCAGCTTCAACGGCTGGGGCAGCAGCAGCTTCAGCAGCTGGGGCAGCAGCCTTGGAAGTATGAGGCTTGATTAGTAACTTTGAAAGCTTTACGGCTTCGTCATCAAGGATACATACCGAGTCGTGATGTAAGACAGCAGCAATACCAGCACCAACGGCGGCAAGACCACCTACGCCAGCAACTCCGGCAATAGCGCCGGTACTTAATCCATGAGAGGACTATTGTAAATTGCAGGCTTTGAGTAAAAGTTGACCTTCCACGTCATCACCAGCCACAAGGACTCTTTTGCATCCAGAATTCCATAATGGAGAGCGATTATTCTGCATCAGTCTTCATCGGAACGATCTATACACGCATCCCTTCCTTCCGTCCTCTCGCTTTGAAGCCCCACCCCAAACCCACACAACAAAAAAAGAAAACCACCAAACATCGAACACAACTAGTCTTTACCTCAACAGGCTTCTCCGCAACAGACTCGAGTGTAACAGGAGCAGCCTAAAATATCGATTGAATCGAGAGAAATGCAGTGAGGCTCCACACAATAAGTCCGAGCGAGCGAAGCAATCCTCCAAACTGCATACGTACAGCAACAACTGGTGCTTCCTTGGAGACAGATGCCTCAGCAATATCCCTGACCTACATAATCCATTACAACGTTAGCGATTCAACCAGTGGTTTTTTGCATCAAAATCATTTTTTGTTAAGTGGAACAGCAATCCATGCTCCACTTGTGATTAAACCGAGGATAAGACGAATGCAGTGGGTAATCGTACCTCGGAAACGGGAGCGTCGATCTTGGCAGGTTCAGCAACTAGTGAGCTCTCTGATAAGCCCGTAAGAGGTGGTATTTTTGGTGCATCATCTTGTAACTTTTGGATTTGTGCACTAATTGGAGTGACGAGCGGAACTGCATCTTGCTTGTGCAGATTGGCAGGAGGAGTCTCCTCAGTCGAACAGCATCCACCCATGTTTCTTGTGATTAGAAGTTCTTATAAGCGATTATGCTGTCTGTTCTGTAATAGATGCTTCAACCACCGTGAGCTTTTTCTGCAAATGACAAAACTTCCTTTTCGCCTTTCCCAAAAACAGGCTTGGTTAGCTGATATAAGAGGTAAGTTTACTAATCCGGTATGCTACCAACACAGCTCAACGAGTTGCTGAAATTAAACGATCTCTCGCTGGACCTATGGACGAAACAAACCTAGCGGTCGCTCAAATGAGCGTGAGCACAATCAATCTAGAGCCATACAAGGACGAAAGCCAGCTCCAAGCTATCATGTCCCTCATAGAAAACGATCTGTCAGAGCCCTACACAGTTTTCACGTATCGATACTTTATGCATCAGTGGCCTGATTACTGCTATCTCGTAAGTTTCACGTATTATTGGATGATTGGGCATGTTTTGCTACCTTAAAGCTTCCTCAAATGGTGAAAGATCGTCAACATCAGACAACATCAGACAACCCCGTTTACCTCGTTATTTTCCTCGTAGGCGATGGATGGCGAAGAGTATATTGGAGTCATCATTTGCCGATTGGAACCGCATCAAGGGTATATTCCTACCATGAGAGGATATATTGCCATGTTGGCTGTTCGGACTCCATATCGGAAGCTTGGAGTTGGTGTGTATTTTGCAATTTGCGTGAAATCAACAATAACAGCCGTCTGATATTTTGATTCATTAGGTTCAAGGCTTGTGCAAAAAGCTGTTGCTGAGTTGAAGCGTGGTGGAGCAGATGAGGTAGATGATGTAAATTGATTTGGGTCGAATGATTGTGTTGATTCCGACGTGGACTCGCTTCGCAAAACAGGTGGTATTGGAAACGGAAGTCACAAATTTTGGAGCTCTAGCTCTTTATGAAAGGCTGGGTTTTGTTCGAGACAAGAGGTTAATTCGATATTATTTAAATGGGGTTGATGCTTTCAGGTGAACTTGTCACAAGCTCGAATCGTACAAACTCTTACTTATTATTTCTCATGACATTAGACTCAAACTATGGCTGACATGAACTCCTTCTTGTTAAGTTCTTGGTTGTATATGTGTGACGAAACCAACGCTGTCGATAACAACATATGAATAACAGAACAAAATATATTTGCTTTTGTGAGAATTTATATACTGGCGTATAGACTGACTTATGCCTTTGATTGCATTCGCATCCAAGCACCTGAAAAGAAAGAAAAAAGTCAGTGAACATGTTCGGCAAGGATTTACTCTAATTTCGGCGAAATTACTTAGAGGCCCTTTATCGGCGAGGTACCTGAACAAACCAGAATTATTGTCAATGGATATGTTCGCCAAGAGAAATTACAAACAATAGCAACTTACTTGACGTAACAACCATCAGGTTGGAGCATATTGTCTTGTCGCTTCACAATGTATTCTTCACGAGTCAATTTAGTGAATCCCCACTTGTTTGATACAATGATCTTTTGACGACCAGGGAACTTGTATTTGGCACGACGAAGAGCTTCAATGACGGTAGCTCGGTTGGCATCCTTGGTTCGTACAGAGATCAAGACTTGACCGATATCTACACGGGCGACGACACCAATTGGCTTTCCGAAAGCACCACGCATACCAGTTTGGAGCCTACAGTGACGAGGAGAGGAATGAATTAGTATGCTATTCTATTGAAGGTGTTTTGTAACTTTTTATGTTCAGTCGTGCAAGTCCATTACAAATCAACCATTGCTTGATCCAAGGTGCTACGACATATCTATGATCTCGTTTTTGGCCTATATATGCGATCGATTATACCAGATCCTCTCCCATATTACATACCTATCAGCACCAGCACAGGACAACATCTTGTTGATACGGAGGACGTGGAATGGATGCACACGGACACGCATGTGGAATGAGTCCTTTCCAGAGACCTTTGAGATGTACTTGTTTGCGCAAATACGACCAGCTTCCAATGCTTCGGATGAGATCTGTTGGTACTCGTCCGACAACAAGTGTACGGTAAGAGGGAATTCATCTACAGTAGCCTTCTTACGACCTAAATCATAAATTCTGATTTTGGCATCGGGGACACCACGACAGTATCGAGACTTTGGATATGGCTAGTAAGGGGAAGGTTTTTGTTTAGTTTTGACGTGTTGCAAATAGAGTTTCGTTGAGAGGTGTGCTGTAGTGTGGGGGAAGATAAATGGATGGCCCGGATGGCTCGTTGTGTAGCCGACTACGACCAGCAACTGATGGTTCGGTGAATGTCATTCATATACAGATTGAACAGAGTTGGTGTAGTGTGCTGTCTTCATTTCAAACTAAGAGACAGAGCAACTCCAGAGCCATCCATCATTGATTCCTTTATGACAATGCAGAAGAAAATATTGCATGTTCTGCTATATATACCTTGTTCTTGCAGTAACGATAACATCTTGCGGGACGTCGACCCATGATGATAGATTCTTCAGAGATACGGCCTAAACTGGCTATGGGAAGAGGCAGAATAAACGAGTCAATAAAAGAGCTGTGAATAGTATGAGACAAGGCTATCCAAGAAAGCCTCTCTGTTCACCACTTGTGCTTGCAGCCTCGAGTTTTTTTTGGAAGTTGCAAACAGCAGAGAGACAGAAGGTTGCTCGTCGTAACAAAAGCTTGTTTGCAGTTCAGTCACGGTACGCTGCGAGATATGATTTGAAATGGTGTTCCGAGCTTACCTTTTCCTCTGGATTAATCCCAAGTTGCGTTGAGGTGAAAAACAGAAGTGATTTCAAATACAAGCCACACCTTGCGAATCTGCGATCTCGACTCGAACAAACCCAATAAAGCTAACGGGCTACAACTTTCAACACAGTAAATAGGTAAACTCCAGTCATTATCAACCCTTAGTTGAACATATATCGCCTGATCTCCATTCACTAACATGAGCATTGTTTCTTGGATTTTTGGAAGACGCCTACCTACTATATCAACTACTCACATGGCCGGCATAAAGACTCTCGTCGACTCTCAAATTCACGACAATGCTGTCCAAATGTACTCAAAGGTATCCATCTCTCTTGGCCTTGGCTCAAATTCGCAATATGTTTGCGTCGGAATCATGTAACTAACATTTAGCCTCATAGTCATACTGTCCTTACTGCAAGAAGGCAAAGGCTTTACTGGACTCTATGAACATCAAATACTCGGTTCTGGAGCTCGATCAAATAGGTCGGTTGTTTCTCCGCTATCTGCGTCAAAAACGTTCGAATCTTATCATCCATACTAAATCTTGTCTCATTTACTAGAAAATGGATCCGAAATTCAAAGGTATCTCAAGGAAAAGACATCTCAAACAACTGTCCCAAACATATTCATCCATGAACAGCACATTGGTATGTTTCGATTTGCAGTCAACTGTCGATTCAACTGCTACCAGCAATCCTCCTACAACCAACACTAACCCGATCCGTCGTCCTTAGGTGGCAGCGATGATTTGCATGCCGCAAAGGCTAATGGAAGATTGGAAAAGTTACTCAAATTGTAGAACTGCCACCAAATCTTATACTTGTCATTTCTTGCTGTTTCTACACAAGTTTGTATGCTATTATAGGAATAGAAATGAGTGGTTCATTGCCGCTGATTCATAAAACCGCTTTGGGCTTCCAAGGTTGGATCCGCTTGCCCTTCCTGATCGTTGAGGGCTGTCGTGGCACTCAGTTGTATGGCGACGTAGAGAAAGAGCTGTCGTCCTAAACAGCGAAATATTGAACTTGAACGTCTCCTGGCACATCTCAAGGTATGCGAGTCCCTCGCATTCAAGTCTAGGGTAGAAAATAGTCACTCCCAATATAACGCCAAAATAATCAACATTTTTCCAGCAATGAAACAAATGTAGTATGAAGACTGTATTTGCTATGAATCAAATGTACTACGTGGTAGTCCAGCCCACCACTATTTCTCCATCTTCAATTCCTGTCCATCAGCGATGCTTGCAAGCAGCTGTTCGAGTTTTAGAGTCCGTTCCGTTAAAGTAGCTAGGCTGCGGTGTAAGTCTTCCTTGACCGAAATGGTGAAACCTTTCAGAGCGTCTATTGCTGCTATCTCTTCACGGACAGCATGAATTTCCGCCTTCACCGCTTCTCCAAGGCCTTGAAGCTTTTGGCTCTTACGATCGGAATCTCGTAATCAACGTATCTTGGGAAATTCGCTGGGATCTCGGTAAAGTGAGGCCATAAGCTCAACTATACGGCGACAATCCGTTATCCTTTGTGTATTGTGATAGGACGGGTTGACATCTCAGTCACCAAAGTTTCTAGTTCCAAGATGAACGAGAAAAAGTGTGATTAAAAATTAACTGAAAGGCAACGTCTGCAAGTAAGCAGTACTTATAGATGCACCCGAACAACCAAACATGAAACGAATGATGCACCGATTCACATCTGGCGCGTTATTCAAATCCTTCCAAAACAGCAGCGAATCCAAAGCTACCCATAAATCGCCCAATCGACAGTTGCCCTGTGGGTGATTTCGACTTTGAGGACATGTTTCTCAATGACTCCTATGGTCAGGTCTATGTAACGTGCTTTAGCAAGGCGTCTCGATATTGTCAGAAGGAATGGGAGAAAGGAATGGGAGGACACACAATCATCATCATTTTCTTTGAAATGGTTTCCACAGTGATGAGGGTGTTGGATTCGGAATCAGCTTCATGAGCGATGGCCGCTTTCAAGACTGGCTTGCCATTGTTTGTGTCCACGTAGACAAATCGTACTGCACATGATGGGATCTCCAGGACCTATCGGTGCCTGGTGTGTTAACTCAATATTTGTAGCGATGCTACCAATATAAACAAACCCCCCCCCCCCCCCCCCATACCCAAATAAAAGCGGTCTACCACAACCATCAAGCATGTAGACATTATTTTGATGGATTTAAATTCCACATCTAGGCGCCATTGTAGCTTTTGACCAGTTTCTATCAAAGTTGTGGACTCTTTGAGAGTGCCGGCAGTTAAAAGCGAAACTTACAAGAGTCCCTGGCAAGTTTGTGAGAAGCAGATACTCGTCATTGTATGGATTTGCTCTAGCTATCGAGATGTACGGACAGCGACCATTTGTTACGATTTGTCTTGGCTTCGATTCTTCAAATATCTGTACATATGTGGCAGCAACCGTTGAAGAGAATCAGCTGTCCTCCTCAAACGAAAATATTACATAAACGCCTTCTTTAACCTTTTCCAAGGCAGAAACGGAAATGAGTTTATGATTTGAGGGGAGACTCACTGTTTTGATTTTCCTAAGAGACACTGGAGCCACTGCGTCCATTTCCACTAGATACACAATCAGATTCTTTTCGTTCGTGAAGCCTACCTCCAAGCATTCATTCTCTGAGGTTGCTAGATATTTGATGTTTGAAGTGTTTGGCGAAATGCGAGCCCAAATGCTCACATTGTCCTTGAGCATGTAGAGCACCTAAAGCGCCAATCTTCCGTAAAATGTCGAGTCAAAGATGTTTGAAGTAGGGCTTCAAAGTCTGCAAGGTCACCACCATCAACCGTTTGCTCTCCAAGATAAACCCCCGTCTGTAATTCCCACACATTCAAACAATAAATATCGTTTCTACCCACACCTTCCCATGCAATGTGCAGCTTGCTGCCTACAACCTTGACGCTTCCGACTCTCACAGACTTCCCGTTAATATGTAGTGGCGACGGATATTCTACAAGGCATCTTCGATCTTTGAGATCGTATAGAGTTGCCACGATATAGGGATCTCGGCGATCATGTAACTAGGTGTACGATACTACGATATAGACATCGTCACTCCTGTGGTCATTCCAAACAGCGCAGACCCAGCGAATGTCATGTTCAAAGACAAAAGTAGGTAGCGAGCGAAATGTGAGGTTCCAAGCTTTGCTCAACTGCCGATAATTCAACAATTTCTAAAAGGCGCAACGAATGAGATTAAATCTGGTAAACACCGTACAGTCGGAGCGACAAACCTTGCATCGGATCTCCCTGCATTGATTTGGAATGCCAAGATGGAATAGTAACGTGTCTGCCTTTAGAGCAACACTACATGAGGTATCCAACGCCTCCACCAACCATTTCGACTTGGGCAACTATAGTTTCTCGACTCTGACATAATGGTATAGTAACACAGGCGTTACATATTGGGATAACTTTACGGTTTCGGAGCTACAGCTACCAGAGGACGATGCTCACATTGAACCATTCCCTTCCAAAGCCGCAAACGTAAATGTAGATTAACCCCACTCCAATTGACAGCCTCCAAGAACGAAAACAATGGCAACATATCAGCCTCATCTCCATACTCATCGATAGAGACAGCAACAATCAGTAGTACGGGATTGTTCCGGTTTGTTGTTGCAAAGCTAGTTTTGCCAGCCCAGCCTTCCACTACGTGTTGTATTCCCTGTGTGGTATCTACTTGACATTGCTCACAGGCACGGCTCCATCTCGTAGACAGTCCAAGAAATGCAATCAATGACTCTGTCAACCCGATGGTCGTGGTTAGAAATCTTTAGCAACCAAAGAAAAGGAAATCTTGTCGGTTCTGGAACGATAAAACCGAGTCATCTCTTACATTGCTAACTGAAGATGCTCTCGTTGCCGTTAGAGAGGTCTCGTCCGTCATTTCGTGATTCTTAACGAAGGAAGTCAAAGCAAGTGGATCAGCGAATGGCTCTCCTAACACAAAATGTCGAAAATTTTGGCCGGGCTATGATGTAGCCTGGAAACTCGGACCATAAGTTCTATTATAGTCTGATCAATATTCACAAGCAAGTGGAACGCTACAGCATTATTTATATAGTAGAACGGCAAAGAAATCTCTATTTGAGTTACGGGCAGAGAGAACTATGTGTATACTACACAAGGAAGGTTGGTGCTACAGCAGTATAACTGACAGCTTCAATTCTAATGATTTTTGCTACCAAAGAACAAGATGGACGATTTGCTCTTTGTTTTCCTAGTTGGGAGGTAATGACGTGGCTGTTAGCTTGTTGCACGTTTTGGACGAAACATCGACACAAGGATCGAACTGTTCTCAACGTCCTTTGCAAACTCTTCAGTCCTTTTTGGACATCAACGATAACATTTGCAAGTGGGTTTCCGGGAGGTGAACTTACCCAATAGTGTTCTCAACATCCTTTTCATACTCTTCAGTCCGCATCAATGCAAAGAGCCCAGGTACGCCAGTCCTCTTTAGGACATCAACGATAGCACTTGCAAGTGGGTTACCAGCCAGTCTCAATTTAGCACCAGAACTGTCCAATGGCGTGTTTGCTATATTTGTCGGTCATTTTAGCAGATGCGCATAGATAAAAATCACAAGACAACATGTTTACCAAGTTCTTTTGGCAGAGTAGTCAAACGATTGCCTTGTAACAATAAGAATCGAATTTCTTTGAGTTTGCCAATCTCTTTGGGTAGCGAGACAAGCTTGTTATCTCTCAACACCAACTAGATGATCAAATATGAATGAGCGATTCGAACGAGTTCAACGCAGCAACTGCTAACTTGCCGTTTCCAGTTTGATCAAGTTACCGATTTCTGGAGGCAATTCGACCAGATTGTTGTCTGCCAAATGTAGTGTCCGTAAAGTATCTGTATTACGTATTCAGTTGCTCAGACACCGTGGTATTGTGTTGTTCAGTGCGTTCAAGACGTACTCAGATAGCAAAAGTTCTTTGAGATCTCCACTAGCGAATTGCAACTGAGATCCAAATAGTTGAGTTTTGGACATGTTCCGATAGCTTGTGGTAGTTCTCTGATCTTGTTATTACTACAGTATTGTATTGTTGAGCACGGTGCCAATGACAATCCAAACAAAAACATGCCTGGCGGTGACTATCTTGAGCAACGGCAACGATGATATCGACTTTGGCAATGAATCCAGCTTGTTATTGAATATGGTCAGTAATTCCAGCTTGCTGAGTCTTGCAATGTCTTCTGGCAGATCTATGGATTGTTGGGGGTTGATGTCAGCACGGGGAAGTTGATCTGTAGCTCGGACGCACCAGTAATCTTGTTATGAGATAGATTTAGTCTTCCAAGAGTCTGAATTTCCCCTGATTTGAGTAATGTTTGGAGTAAGAGAACTGAAATTCAGAATCACGAGTTGTAATGACTAGTGTTTACACGTACACAGCTCTGATGGTATTTCTTTCAGTCCCTGCTCGTCTAGATCAAGCATGTTCGAGGATTCATGTCGCGCCTCTTCCAAGATCTGTTTGATGCCTCGTCCCATTTTGCAATTACTTGTTCGATCTTGTAAATGATCGTGAAGGCTTTACCACACGTATAATCCGGCGTGTAATTCCAATATGATTATATAATCCACATGAAAATAATAAAGTTGGATATATGCGATGCGGAGTGTTCATTGCAAAGTCTCTTTCCCGTTGTTCAGATTTTTTCATCATTCCATTTAATCAATCCCAACCAAAGAACTGTGCCAGAACGATAAATATCAAGTCAACGGAGACCATCAACTGCATCTATTAATGTAAACTCATGCAATTGAACTCCATTCGCTGTCCAATACTCACCGTATCTAACACGATCCGCTCTTTGATCTAGTTCATCCCACATAATTATCAATCATGTCAAGACGTAGTCAACCTCCAGGCGGCCGCTCCACTCTGACATTTGGCACTGAGAATGATGACGTCTCATCTAGCTTTTCCAAGATGTCTGTAAAATCACAGCAAGGTATCATGGCGCCCACATATACATCCGTGCCTGAAAAGTTAGCTAGGGACAATACTACATGGAAAACCATCAGAGATAGAAGCATGCACTCTGATATATTCTCAGTCCAAGGCTCTGGCGCTGCTACTCCAGTTGGTCAACCTCGCTTCAACAGGAACGCATCCAGCTTCTCCTTTGGTAATGACTTTACTAGCATCCCCAGCAGCGGAACGGGAACTCCCAGGCAACGTGACTCCGTATCTAGTAGCTCCTCAAACAAGATCTTTGGTAACGACTTTGACCACGCAATGCCAGTCAAACGATCTGTAAACCGATATGAATCCGATATATTTGGTGTCAAGGCCACTGCCGCTGCTGCTGCCAAGGCTGCTGAACCCGTAGTAGGATCTAAATCTAGTAATTCTGAATATGGCTATGCTGGTAGTGAAGCTGCAATGAGACGACCTTCGTATGAACAACAATATGAAGCATATGAAAAGACTGGTGCTCCTGCTCCAACTGGTGATTATGAAGCCTACAATCACGACAGCAACGCTTACGGTAGAAGCTACCCACAAGATGGTGAATACGAATACTATGAAGGACTACCATCAGAACAACAACAGCAAAAGGATGTATACAGTCATGATGAATACGAGTCTGCAGCACCTGCTACATCCAAGTATAGTGAAATCATGAAACAACAGCAACTTGAAAGCAGTGTACCAGCTACACCCGTAATCAACCGTCACCACACCAAATCTAGTGTATTCGATATGGACGTTGGTGAAACTCCATTCAAGAGCCGTCGTCACTATATGAACCACTACGAATCTTCTCCAGACTTGTTGGGTAAAAAAGAAGGTAGTGCTCCAGACACCTCATACGGGCGCCAGCCAGCTCCATATGCTACTTCAGAAGGTTCAGGAACAGCAACTCCTCGGGTCTCTGTAAACAGGCGTAATAATACTACCTTTGATATCTTTGGTGGATATGATGCTGGGGTAGCCTCCTCTGGAACTAGCACTCCTATGAATGGTGAACGAACCGGTGGTTTGTCCAGCTCAGACTTGCATAGAGAACGTGTTGGTCGTGGAGGAAACCGTAGAGGAAATCAATCTCAAATCGTCTTTGGACCTTAAATCTAATCAAAAATTATGACAAGCAGCGAGGACGATAGACAAATCTAGCAACAGCGACAACTACTAAAAATTACGGAATGTGACAGTGTAAACAAATAGCACCTATATTAACTCACAACAGCATTGTGATATAAAATCCCCAGTCATAGAGATAGCCTCGTTTACAATATAAAACTCTATTCGATTGAAAAAGACTACTTTTTCAAGAATTCCTTGTTGAACTCACGACCTAGAAGCGATGGGAGACATTAGCATATTGTGACTATTCACATATTGAAGCACTGCAAACGCACCTATTAGCATTCGTCGAATTTCACTTGTCCCCGCACCAATCTCATACAATTTAGCATCTCTCAGCAATCGTCCCGTTGGGTAATCATTAATATAACCATTACCACCCAGACATTGAATCGCATCCAAGGCCACCTCTGTAGCCCGTTCAGCAGCGTACAGGATGACTCCGGCGCAATCACGATTGCTGGAATGACCATTATCGGACGCTCGTGCGACTGCATATGTGTACGATCTTGAAGCAGATGTTTTGGTGAACATGTCTGCTAGTTTGCCTTGGAGTAACTTTTTCCGAGGGAAAAATTGGTCTGAACATCTCCGTTTTTGCCTGAAACAAATGCACTCTTACCTGGAAGTGACCAACAGGCTGTCCGAACTGCTTCCGTTCATGAACATATGGTATCGTCACGTCTAGAGCTGCTTGCATTATACTAGGAAGCAAATGTGGTGTCAGTTCGAGTGCAGAAAAATGCGAAATCAACGAAATGCAGCATACCCAAGAGGACCAGCACTCAAGACCAATCGTTCCAAGTCCAGCCCACTCATTAACACATATACTCCTTTACCAACACCACCCAATACATTTTCCGCTATAAAAATAACGTTAGCTCGTATGATTGCTTCTATAATTGGTTTTTTTGTCATGTTCCTTCGTTACACACCTGGAACTTCACAGTCTTCAAAGACAAGTTCACAGGTATTTGAACCACGCATTCCCAACTTGTCAAGTTTGGGACTTGTAGAGAATCCTGTAAAGCCCTTTTCCACAAGGAAGGCCGTAATTCCATGTGGTCCAGCTTTGATGTCGGTTTTGGCGTATACTACGAGCACATTGGCGTCTGGGCCGTTGGTGATCCAGAACTTGGTGCCGTTGAGTATGTAACGATCACCTTTATATGATGGGAATGTGTCAACGAGCGAAAAACTCGAGGTGGCTTCTCAAGAATGCAAATTTGTAGCCACCTTTCTTGTCAGCTCTCAGCTTCATAGACACGACATCTGATCCTGATCCAGGTTCGCTCATGGCCAGAGCAGCGACATGCTCCCCACTTATCAGCTGTTGGGTGTGACTGTGTCAATTATCCCCGACTATAAGACACTGACACCAAACTGCATCGGCCACAATGTATACCTTGGGAAGATACTTGTCCTTTTGAGCATCAGATCCATTCCTGACGATCTGATTCACACCGAGATTTGAATGGGCGCCATAACTCAGAGCAACAGAGCCCGAAGCCCTCGATATTTCCTCCATGGCAATACAGTGAGCCAGATAGCCCATATTCTGCCCGCCATACTTTTCAGGAGCAGTGATTCCTAGCAGGCCCATGTCACCAAACTTTTTCCACATGTCCATTGGGAATTCATTGGCCTTGTCAATTTCGTGAGCACGTGGAGCCAGTTCCTTTTGGCAGAAATCGTGAACTGCTTCGTGCAACTAGGTGGTGATAGGACGGGAGTTAGATGTTTGGATTTCATGTTGTTGAAATGTTTGTATTTTAATTTGAGACGAGTGGCATACTTGACGTAGTTCTGGAGTCAAGCCAGCTATATTATAATCATAGCAGTTGTATGAGAGAGATCGCGATGGCACTTTCAACGACAGAGCCTAGAACGTGAAGGAATTGTCAGTCACAAAATACGAATAGAAGAATAGGAAAAGCGATCAGATGTACCTTAGAAAGGAAGGACTTTCGACACAGAACAGTCGCTCGTGACGCCAAACTCATCTTCCTCACGGTATTAAGTGGTGTTTGCGTGTAAATGAGGACCAACGCTCAAAGAGTCAGTGAACAGTACGGCCCTTACGTGGCGTAGTCAACCAAATTGATTTCCAGACAGTAAATATTGATAGAACTATGTAGAAGACGCGTGTTTGGAATCTCAGGTGCATCGTCAAACCGACCAAGATTTCTCATCTTCAAATTCTGGTCGGGAACAATATCCAATAGACAAGAGTAAACTTGCGCCTGTTCAAAATTATGGATGAGAATGTAAGTCATCGCTATCAACTGCTCTCTGCTTCAATTCTCTTCGCTTGCGCTTCAGCTTCACACACAACCAAAATCCATCCACTTCGAATTTTCGACCACATTTCCCATCCTATAACTCAGTCTCAAATTACTTGCTTGTTTATTAGATGTCGTCTCCACCTAGGCCCGTAACTAATCCTCGTCTGAGTTCCGTCAGAAACGAAACTGAAGAATTGGAATCTTCGGTATCTTCACCTGCCACTCCTGTAAATGAAAGCAGCGAAGGAGACGACGTAATAGAGGGCGACGACGGAGATGATGAAGGAGATGATGGTAATGCTCATTCTCGTCATCAACCGACTTGTTTCTTCAAAGATCCATCATCTACATTGAACTTCATCACCGACAAACTTATTGATCTATAGGCGATGACGGTGACGCAACAGGAGATGATGACGAAGCAAGCGTCACTGCTACAAAAACTGCTCCTACTCGTGGTAAACGAAAGCATCGTGGTGGTGGTTTCTTCAATGATGGCGTCAAACGACCTAGAAGTCTACGCACTCCAAACGCTAAAAAGGACGACTTTGATCTTGATTGGCCTGTTGATGCAAAGGGTGAAGAAAAAATTGATGCTGATGGTATACTTCAAGGAGGTACGTACGTTGAACTACAGCGGTTTTTTTTTTTGGCTTTTTCTTGTCATAGCTTCCCAATTTCAACCCTCTCCAACAGGTCGACAGTTTCGAGTTCGATCATTTACTCTGCCACGTCACCCTTCTCGGCACTACATACTCACAATGGATGTCGCAAAGCTATTAAACTTTCGTGACTCGTACATCTTCCACATGCGAAATCAAGATATGCCTCGTATAGTCGCAACTGAAAACGATCATCAATGGCTGAAAGAATACGCTGAACTACCACCTCGACTAAATAATCGTAATGTGTCTCTTCTAACAGCACGAGCTGCCTTCCGTAAATTCGGCCATCGCATCATCCGACATGGAAGACCCATTCGTGACGATTACTATGAAGACGGTAGTGGAATTTTTCAAGGAAATATTCCAGCTGTAGCAGATTCTGATGATGAAATGTATGGCGGCGCTGGAGGATTTATGAGGTCGAATGGGTTTATGCGTAGAGATCAAGGTCCAAATGCTCCAAAACCGGTATTTATTGCTCGACCAATCACCGGACGTGACCATCTAGCCACTCGTTGCTCACAAAATGCCGCTGAATTCAACTCTCGATTACGTGCCGCTCGTGGTGCTCCTTTTATTGATGCTCATACCAATGTAGAACAGGTGCCCGTCATTACTCAACCTACTCATGTCGTTGTACAAGTAGAACAGGGCACTTTTGGTCAACCTGGTACAGGTGTCCAAGTAGAAGCTCGGACCACCGTCCCTCAAGACTCACAGCATGATTGGATTCCATTGCCGTTGACTAGCGATGCTGACAAGTTTCCACTGGCTCTTACACCTGGGCAATATCATGAAGTATTCTCCATGTATGTGTCGTGATAAGTTGACAAAGCAGTGACATTACGCAAGCGTTCTATGCTGTTTTTTTTTGCTGACGACATCATCGCATAGATATCAAACTCGATTCATGCATGCAAGTTACATGTTGGATGAATATGAAGAAACTGATTGGTTTGATGATGCAGAAAAGGTGAGATACGAAGCGTTTCTACAAAAGGTATAAAATCGTGAGTTATAACACCAAATCAACACAGCCCAAGAATGAGATCTTCTTTTGTGGTGATGTGAGTAAAGGACACAAATTGTGTCATCGACCTGTTGCTGTATTTGGAGAATTATGTGGATCTCACAAAGCAAAAGAGGTATTTTCGTCCCGTTGCAAATGTGTTTTTTGCCTTCCTAGATATTCATCATTTCTATCTAGACAATGACTCTAGACAAGGAAGATGTCTGTATTCACTGTACTTCTGCATTGGCCCCAACATCAAACCGTACACCACGAATTCCACCATCATTCCTGTTGATTTGCTCTCGGTGTAAAACTCGTCATCATCCCGCTTGTATTGATATTGAAAATCCAGTCATTGTCGCAAAAGCAATGAGCTATGATTGGAAGTGCAATAACTGTAAACAATGCACGGAATGCGCTGAAGTTGGAGATGAAGACAAGCTCCTGTTTTGTGATACTTGTGATAAGCCTTATCACACGTATTGCTGCAAGCCTCCAATGAATGAGCTTCCTCATGGTAAGCGTGATGGTCTAGCCTTTTGCCTCAGTCTGAAGACATGCATCGGAATCAGATCCTCTTTTTTTGTTCATGCTTCGCCGTAATAATCGTGCTTTCCCTTTTCTCTCAAATCAGGCTCATGGTATTGTCAAGAATGTGCTGTATGCACCTCATGTGGTGTTCGCCCTCCTTTACCTGGTCAACGGCTGCCTGAAATTGAATGGAGACATGCTATAATTCCATCACCTCATCCAGAAAAGACACTCCCAACTTATGTCTGCACCTATTGTGCAAATTGCTTTGCCAATTATCTAGCAGACCGATACTGTCCATTCTGTATGCATGTTTATGGAGAAGAGTCTGATGAGAATGCCATGGTTTGCTGTGATTCCTGTGACAGGTAAGAGAGTTGCCAACCTCTGAATTGTATTGTTATCTGTGTTCGTTCCCACTTTTACAAACCATATCATTTGATGATGTCGGTTATGTACTCGCGTTGTAATGCAATTCTGATTCATGTTATTCTTTTGTACACGTAGGTGGATTCATGTTGGTTGTGATCCAAACTTGACTCAAGCCAGATACAATCGGCTGGCCGCCGATGATGCAGCCAAGTTTACATGTGGTGTATGTGAAGAGGATCGCTTGGATGGTATTTTGAAAGCCCAAGGCCCACCTGGAAAGCACCGCGCGGTTGTACACGCAGGCAAAAAACTGGTGGCCCCTCCTCTCGTTATTAGGAAGTAGTCAAACAAGAAAAACATAGAATATACATAGATCGTTTTTGCTCAAGTTGTAAAATCAAATGGGACGGAATCGCTTATAGTTTTTTTTTGACAAGTAATATAATATGTGATGTCTCCTCAATCATTGCTGGTTCCTCATTTCAGTTGCGACGACCACAGCTATGATCACCTAGTATTGACCTTCGTGGACGGACGTTCTTGCTATCTGGGAGCTGGTGTGAGTTGACAAAAACGGCAAGAAATGTAATTCTTGGGTTATCTTGATACCATCTCACTTGACCTCTGGTACCGTTAGAATTGGAGGCATTCAAGTGAGCTGGTGCCTCCAAACACTCAAACCTCCACGAATTTTTCGTGTCTTTTCAATAATTTGCCATGTACTGTAGGTAGTGAAAGTCTCCAGAGAGAAATGTTGATAGATTTTAGCTGAAGTTTCAAGTAACAAACGCGATTCCAAGACAGGATTTCACCTTGCAGAAACTTTTAGTTGAAGAGCGATATATATACATGTATACTATGAAAAATTACCAAATGAAGCTTTCAATTGAATCTTTGGTGTTGTTTGAGGCTCAGGGGAGCTTGTCGATGATCTAATCGGTGCAGCTGCTACAGTAGACGAAATTGAGATTCTCGACGACGAGTCTGTAGTTTGCGATCTAGACAAGTTTTGTCTAAATGCTCGTTCTAATTTTATACGTCGATCTTCAGGTAGAGCAGCAATGCATGATCTAAACCCAGCTGGTTGTTGTCCAGCCAAGTTTAGCAAGTGTTGGACTGCAAATGCATGTAGATTTGCTGCTGCTGGATTTGCAAATGTCGAAGGTGAATTTTCTGGTATGTTGGCTACTTGAGATACCAGTAAAGGTACAATGATTGGTAGTAATGCTGTTTCTATAAGAATCCGTGAATGATAAAGTGCTTAGTTTGTTGAACAAAAAAACCGACTCAATCTTCAAACAGAACTTACTTTTACGGTCATCAGTAATAGCATACAATACCAAGACACACTTCACTGCATCATCTAGTAATGATACTCGAGAAGGCGACGGACTGACAATGGAGTTACAGACCACAGTACCAGTCGAGTAGGCAAATGCTACCACATCTGGAAGTATGAGCCTACTAAACATTGAGCCAATAGCCACACTTTCTGGCTCTGGTCTTGCCATAAGTGCAAGAAGTGATTTTGTACATTGCAGAGCCACGAATGATAACTACATGAAGTTTTGAGATCTTTTTAGAGACGGTTTTCTTTGGCATCAAATTCCACAAACGAAAACTTACCGATTCGACGGGACTATTATTGAGGAGACGCCTCAGGATTTCTACTAGACGTTCCTGATTTTCGGGATGATGAGACAGTTTAGGAGATGTGGTTGTGATTAAAGTTATAGCCAGCAAGCAATTCTTGGTCATGGCTGGATCAAAAGGATCCGTTAATTCGGCACAGCTTTCCCTAATAGTATACGAAGTGATCTAAGCGAATGCCACAACTGAAGGCGAAAAGGGCTCGAAATACATACAATTCCATCGTAACCGTGTCCAGAAGAGTCGACAACGCAGCTTGAAGCACTCCCGACACAACAGGTTCTTCAGGAGCGATGATGCAACCATGAATGTTCTCCATGCATGCTTTCAAGCATACCAGTACTCTTGGACCAACATCGGAACTGAACTTTTCAGAGTCCAACAAGGCTGATTTGGAAGAATTTGGAAGAGATAAAGTTAGAAATCGCAATAGTTTCAAGCACCCTGCAAAAATTATTACCCAGATATATGTAGAAAAGGACTGGCATAAGCTCCGCCTTATGCACAGAAGACAATCCATAAGAGCAAGCCAATGCAGTAAGAGTTTCCAGTGCAGTGGCCATCAACGTGGCCGTTTCAGATGTGACTTTTCTGTATGCATTCACTAAAAGTAATCAAGAGATTGCCGTTAAAAGCCAACCTTTCAAATACAACAAAGAGTGACTTACAAGTTGCAGTGGGATTATTGGAAACTGACGGAACATGGTACATAAACACATTGAATAATAGCCTGACTGTCACATAGAGCCTTGATGTATTCGAAAGAGGTCCAGGATCGACTACATTGCCAGTGAGGAAGTCTGTATCGTTTCTAAAGAATTGAGTCAATCATGAGTCGTCTCTTTTTCGCGGGGTTCTCAACTAAGCAAGCAATTACCCTGTCACATAGACCTCAGAATCGTCCAAGAAATAAGCATCTCCATAATCAGCAACCATTCTCTGCACGATAGTGAGCACTGACAATTGAATGGGAACTTCTTCTGTTTGTAGAATTCGGTCAAAGATACTCAAAGTCTCTACAAATACACCCTATAAAACAAATCAGACTTTGTTATCAGCATTTTAAACTTCAAGTACAAACGAACCAAAAAAACGCATCAAGACACTGGAATGTACCTTGGTGAGGAACTTGTTCCCAGCAATCTTGGGTTTGAATAATTGACCAATACTGCCCAAACAAGACTCCATGATTTGATTCGATTCTTGTGTTGCACCTCCTTTAAGTCCAGTATTCGCAATGGCTTCCACACATAATCCGTACAAGACAAAGTATGTGTTTGATGGTCCATCGGATTCAGCTCGATCAGATTTCCTTACAGCAGCCACAATCAAATCATCTCGTACATCAATCAATGACGTGAATGCCCGCATAATAACGTGCCATGATTTCAGATAGTACTATTATAGGTATAGAAAAGGTTGGACTGCTACCAAAAAAAGATGCTGAATATGTTGCATGATGGCTTACCGGCAAAACCACATCAAGAGTCGACGACGTGTACATATAAAGGCTAGATCCAGAATCTGGAGTAGCAGCTGCAGCTAAGGGACTGACCATGTCAGTCTCTAACTTGATTTTGGCATGATCACGTAACACCGACATCCATAGTGGGACCAAAACAGGAAGATTCCTAATACACAAGGCAACGTCTGTGTCATTCCTTTACATTCCATAAAACATACAATAAAACAGTAACATACGGTCCAACGATTTCCGTCAGATAATAGTGCTTGGATGATGCAATCTGCAAATCAGCCCATGCAGTCAATATAGCCAATCTGAGCATGAGTGCAGTATGTGGACTAGCAGTATCACCATCCAAGTCATTCGTTTCTACAAGATGAAATAAATCTGGTCAGCAAACAGATGTATCTGAACTGACAGCTAGAGTATCAACCTTTGCAACGATCAAGAGTCCCAGCCCAAACTTTCAAGACACGTCCAAGTGCCGAGAATGACTTGTTGATGCCACTTCCAATATATACAGCACAGACACGACAAGCAGCACTCATCACTTCTGGAGATGTTTCAGGTGCAAAGTTAGGTGCCAAAGCAGCACTTATTTGAGCCTATTGGAATAGAAACGTTAGCAAAACAAACCGAGAGAACCCAGCATTTCAACGTTTAGGCTTACCTGGTATTGCTCTAAGAGAGCATGGTCTTCATAATCTGGATCAACAGTCTCAGCGAATTTCTAACAGCGGAAAAAGGGTCACTAAATGCTACTCCCAAAAGACGTTCTCCCCCCAGCTACCTCTAAGATATCTTGCAAAACCAGCAATCCTTCCAATCTCAAAGCGTCCACCATTCCAGTAGATGCACTAAAAGCCATCTTGACCAAATCAAGCAACTTGGTTACAAGATAATCTGCCCTATTGGCACCAACAGAAAAGGCAGCGGTTCGAGCTGCCTCCAAATCAAAGTGAGCCTTGACACCAGTAGATTTAGCTGCGGTCATAATCTGACGCAAGCAAGCCAAAGCAAACATCTGAGTCCTCCATCGTGGTAGTAGAGCGACTAGTAGTTTCAAAGCTACGGCAGCAAATGATCCTGCTAGACCTGGATTGGCTTGTGGAGCAGATACAGTTGGTGTAGCTGTTCCGCTTCCACGAGGACTCACGCCAAATCCATCTTCATCGTCATAATCACGTTCGGCATCAGGAGCAGCCGTTGTTGGTGCAGCTTGATTTCCACCAGATGCAGGTGCTGCCGAAGAGGCGCTTGTTGATTTAGATAATATACCTTTACATAACTCCAACCATCGCGTTGGCTGAGTAGGAGCCACATGACGTAGGAGACCCATTAATATATCTCGAATCTCGTCTCGCACTGTACCATCCATTTCAGTATCCAGTAGAGCAAAGAGTTGCTCTTCTAATTGATTATTTACAGCTGCAACCAGTACTGATTCAGGATTACGTTGTACTAGCTGGTATAAGCAGGTGACGGATGCTTTACGCATCAATGCACCATGAGATCGATAATCACCCGTCATCTGCACTTGCAGGAAGGGCACGAGACTACCAATATCAACGTGTTTGGGAGCAAAGAGAATAAAGTGTTGCACACATTTGATGGCTTCAACAACCACAAATGGATCAGAATCGTTTCGTAAAGCTTCATACAATCCAAAGCAAAGCTCTCGTACACGTTTCCCATCTTGCAACTCCGGACCAACAACACCTACTAAAGCATGCAATATTCTACCAAATGTCGGATATACATCTGCATTCGTATCTCCGTTTGGCTGATTTGCAGCTAAATTAGTCACTTCATGCGTATCAGACATGAAGAGTTTGGCTACCGTCAACAAGGTAGAATTCACATAAGGTTCATACATGAGTCCACTACTTTCTACCGTGAGCCAAAGAGCATGCAATGCCCATGTATGGACTAGAGGATGTGGATCTGATGCTAGGGAATGCAATATACCAACAATAGTTTTTATATGTGATGCAGCTGCCATGCCTCCGACGTAGGAGTTGATATATCCAAGAGCCAGAGCATAGCCAGATCGTGCTACAGGATCTCGATTGTTGACGACCTGGTCTACAAGGCCTTGAATCAATGGATTTATAAAGATGGCCGTTCCCACTGTTCGTGCTAATCTACCAAGGACTTCACTACCAGCACTACGAATTGCTGGCTCAGAGCTCGTCAAAGCCTCCTATTTGCGAGACATGAGTAAAAATGAGTTAAAGTGATAATCAATGATATTGAAAAAAACGTTCAAGCAAGAAAAAGATGCAGCCAATTTGACAGAACACAGGTAGAAGCTGACACTGTTACAAAACCACACAAACGTACATCAGTCAGATCACGAATAGCTACAGCAGACCTCCCACTTGCAAAAGAGCCTTGTTTCACCATGATTCGTTTCAGTGCTCCAATTACACTGACTAGAATATTAAGCTGCGTAGCCAATTTTTTACCAGGAAGCATCTTGGCACCAGTATATTTCGAAGTCCTGATGAATTGCTCCAGCACTCCTTCTTGCGTAGTTGCACTTTCAAGTGGAAATACAAGGGCAAAGAGTTCTACGGCTGCATCTACGACGGCAATCGATGGAGCTACTGGTGATGGACGTACGAACCTAACTTCATACGTTGCAGAGTGTTGCTGCTGGTTGGCTGACGATGAGATGTGTTGTGGTGGTTGATATAGATATACGCAGTGTGGGTCGTATTCAGTAGCATGTGGGTGTGGGTTCTCTAACTAAAAAGACGAAAAACTCTCAATCGAGAATGATTTTGCGTGTAGCCTGAGAACTTATTTACTTACTGCTGATTCAAGGTTTTGCACATCAGTGTCCTTCATAACAGCTCTAGTCCAACCTCGGTCCTCAGCACCCGAGTCTGCAGATACATTTATCACTAGACCACGTACTAGCGATGTCAGACATGTAGTATCTATAGCAATATTACCACCCTTATCGACTGGTGGTGAAGCACCATTAGGTGGCAAGGATGCAAGCTTCTCAGGCTCACGAGCAAACACATCTTGTGTCGCTTTTATGAGAACAGAGAATGCCGTCTCGTATGTTGATGGTGGAAGCAGTGTAAAACACTCAAACACCCGTCGCCGTACTGTATGTTCACGATCTAATAATTTAGAGTTACTGGCTGCTTGAGGACTAGCACTACCAGTGATTGGAGTAGCTAGGGCGTTAGGATACGTTGGCGGCAATGTACTCAACCACCCAACCACAGTATTCAGACACACTACTAGACGTTTCGAGACATCCGTTGATGTTAGCTCCTTTCGATTAAATAGTAAAAAGGAGTGCAGGGCAGCTAGAGCATGGTCTCGACTTGATAAAAGATAAGTCCACTCGGCTTCAGTCCGGATTACAGGAGCTTCTTTACCAGTGACTTTGGAGAATATGGCCTTCCAAATCAACAAGAGTTGCGACAAGTGCACCTTGACAAAGTTGGGACCCAAAGTCATGAGTGATCCAATCAGTGTCCATGCAACTTGAGACTGAGCAGTGACTAGCTTCCAGTCTTTGACCTCCTTTTGATTGACGACTGCTTTAAGTAGCTGCGTCGAGACGACGAATATTTTGGCAGCCATATCAAACGAGACATATAAACTGCGTGATGATACCACACCAATAACACCGGCTAGACAGTTGGCCCATCCCACCCATCGATCTATGAGTTCTGGTCGTTCTGACGTCAAGACTGGTATTTCACGTTGAACCAGGCCACCTAATTTATGCATCAGCCTTGGCAATTGAGTAGGTATAGCATGTCCAAGACATCGAAGACACCATGAAAGAGCTACATTTACAGATGCCGAAGGATGATTGATGAGGGCTGTGAGAGGGTCTACGACAAAATCTTGCACAGCAGTAGCTGCCGAGCCCAAATCCAACAACAATGCTGCCACCTCGTTTAATACACATATTAGGGATTGTCTATGAGGCTCTACATCTGTAGGCATGATTGCTGGCCATTTCTTCAAATACATGAAGGACAATTCCTTGACAGCATTCACTTGTCCCGTCTCACTGAGCATCTTTCCTATCACGTCTCTAAGCATGAATTCACATATTTGCCTCATGAATATGGAATCTGTTCGTGATGCTGCTAGTTTGGGATTGGCACTCAAGTCTAGAATATGCTTAACCAAGACACCATAATTATTTTCCACAAAAGTGAAGCCTAATTCGTGCAACGTGGCAGCATAAGCTTCTATTATACCAACCTTGACCTCACGAGCTGACGCTTTTACTAGTTGGGCTGTGATGAGGGCTGCGACTTCTTCAATTGAAAGAATCGATTTATCGGCCAGATTGGTTTGTGTTGCATCGGTTGGGGATGAGACCTTTGTTGGTAATTTTTTCGATGGTGCTTTCGAGAGAGGTGGTTTGCTCTGCGATGATACCAGTATTGATGATATGGTGGAGGCAATTAATCGCCTAACGGAACTAGAAGTTCCTTCCAACGACTTTGAGTATTGGTTCATCAATACTTCATATTCTTCATATTTGAGTGGCGGTGTGGTAGTTGCGTATCTGTATATCGATTGAAAGACCTAATATACAGAAGCAGGTATTAGTTGAGACAGTAGGCTGACAAAAAAGCCCCAGTGGAACTGAGCTATTGCCCTTATACCTCAGCAGAAGCTCCACGAATGATAATGTACTTGTCCGTAAGACCAGCTTTAGCATATTTATTGACGTCCTTTAATAATGTATCGTTGGCACCGCGTCCGCAACCCCTTAGCGATCGTGCCATTGCCATGAGGCATGCATATCTCAGAGGTATCTAATATATAGACATGTATCAGGATCAAGTTTTGATGTTGAACTCTTGAAGCGACACGGGAACTTGCATCAGGTTCTTTGGCATTTTTCAGGAGTTTGGTCAAACTTGTCAATGTTTCTGCAAACAAAGACAAGACACGATGACCATGGCTTTCAGAGATGACTCCAACACAATGTATGACGGCCCTGGGTGGATAATATCGTGTTAGCTACAACTGATAGATCAAAAAGGGACACGATCAGACGTACAATCTAACAGCTGGGTCTTCAGTTTTCTTTGCCAGGACAGCCTGTAGTGCAGTCAGAGTATCAAAGACAGTTCTCGAGTCTCCATTGGTGAAGAGAGTAACAAAACATCGAGCCATAGATTGTCGGATAGGCCCCGAGGGTTTTGGATTTGTAGAGCAGATATATTTCAAGAGTAATTTTTCAATGGTGGCCTGAAATGGTTTGATGCCATCCTAGAAATGAAAGGAAAATAAGTCTCTATCAATGACTGTCACGCATTGAAGTAGTTCACATCACAATCACGTATTATCCAAATGTGTGATTCTTACTCGATTACTAGTTCGTAAATCCCGTTCTAATGCAGACAACCAGAGGAAGAGAACTACTTCCTTCTTTTCAGGCGATTCAGCAGCCGTAATCTTGGCCTCATCGAAAGAGAAACTCTCGGGTCTAGCGGTTGGAACTGCCATTTCCGTTAGAACGTTGTTCAAGGGGCTCATTCAACCAGTAGAGAAAGAGAATAGCTTTTATCTATAGTGAATAATCCGGCACTCAGATCAAGTCTAGTTCGTTGGTCATTATTCGAAAGAAGTTCAAGATTCAATAAGTTTGTAGTTTACGCAAGAAGGGACGAAGGAGAGTCATTTTCACGTGTTTGACACCGTACGAACGTATACTGTTCTTGAAATTCGTTGTAGGTTGTAGGAAAATTGCAAGGGTATTTGTTGGTTCTCAGTCTTTTGTTTGAATTGGTGAGGTTGTCGGAACCGTCACATTAAAGCTCTGCGGAAGTGACGCTGGAACATACTCTGCTTATAGGAATGTACTCTGTTGATATTATTTCAACGTAATATTGAACCGACCGGTACGATTGATTCATTTGAAATCAAAAGATCATACACATTCGACAGTATTCATAAAGTACTCCATACATTTACATCAATTCAAGGTAGAATTTGGCACCAAATAATGACTGAACCTCGTATTCCTATTGTGGTCCTTGGTGGCTTTCTTGGGGCTGGCAAGACCACTCTTTTGAATGTCGTTTTACAGCATTCAACGCCTCTTGATACCAAAATCATCGTCATCGAGAACGAATTCGCATCTGCCTTTGGCATGGAGAATGAGCTGCTTGACAAGAATATAGCGGAGGCCGACATTGAGGAGATCTATGAGTTTGGGTATGTCGTTTCGGTATATTCTTGAGCTGTCTTTGACGCTCTTTTGACCTATTTGGTACTTATCCTTACTGTAGAAGTGGATGTGTATGTTGTAGTAGTAGTGGTGCTCTCTTGAACGTGTTGGGTTCCATAGCTCACCGAAACGACATGAATCAGAAACTGGTTGTGATACTAGAAACAACCGGACTAGCTGACCCTGCACCAGTAGTAATGCTTATATCTCAACTACCCGAATACCAAGTGCAGTCTGTAGTAGCCGTATTGGATGCTTCAACGTTTGCTTCCAGGTTGTCAAAGCAATCTGAATGGAAGAACGAAGTCCTCTCTCAAATACTCTCTGGAGATCACATCATATTAAACAAGTGTGATCTAGTATCAAATGCTCAAACAGATGAAGGCTTGAACCTGATTCGGCAACTTAATCCAACAGCAAAAGTCATAACGGCCACACAAGGAAGGCTCTCATCACAGCAGATCGAAACCGTATTTTTTGAGCCTGTAGATCATATAAGTGAAGAGTCTATTGAGCACAACAAGGTGCACGACCCATCTATAATCGCATTGGGAGCTCATGTCCAAGGAGACGTGGACACCATCAAAGTCAAGGCTCTTGTAGAATCATTATTCCAACAACACAAGGACGACCTACTGCGAGTCAAAGGTGTGTTGTCAGAGCCTGGAAATCCACGTAAAGTAGTGCTTCAAGGTGTCATTGGTGGTCTGTGTTATTTAACTGACCACGGTGAATGGGGATCTGAATCTAGAATGTCGAGGTTGTCTCTAATAGGACGTAATGTCGCTTCAATGGGTGTCAAGGAAATGCTACAGTCGTGTAGTATAGGAGGTATCTGACGTGATGACGTGTCAGCAGTGGAAGACGGTTGAAGTTGTATCTATATAAAACTATGATATTTTTATCGACAAATATTTAATACTAAATCTTCCCACGTTCCCTTATTCGAGCCATCAAAGCTCCTGTCGCGTGCAGACTTTGCGTTTGCAGTTGTGATTTCCAAACAAAAATACGACAAATGGGCAAGCTACTTACCGTGATTCCCCATAGAGTAATTCCGTGATGCAATTTACCGTTCTCGGCGTTTGATTGGTGGAATGCTCAAACGCTCACAAAACCTGAAAATAGCACCTCTCGAAAGACTCTTCCCTCAAACCTCTCATCATCCAGACCACAGACAGGACTCATTCTGACATATAAACTTTAGGTCGGTAAGCTTCGTTAAAGCCTCGTTTGCCACTGTGATCGTCCTGCTAACACTTCTGTCACACTTTCAGATCTACGACGAGTCTGAGCTCAAACAGTTACAAGATGGAAAGCAAAAGTAGCAGTGAAATCATAGGAGATATGCCTCAAGAAGTCTACAAGGCGCCACTCCGTATCCTATCAACATCATCTTCCTCAGCAACATTGAACAACGAAGATGAGTTCTCGCTACCAAGCCTACCATCAACAAAAGCCAAACAAGTCTACCTGCCAAACGAAATATATTTGCTCTACTTCCAACTTCTTTCAACCACCCACTTGCTAACTATAAGGCTGGTGTCTCATCGCCTCAAGCTACTTGTGGATTATGAGTTGGATGCTCGCATGAAGATTTCGCTGGTTGAGCTCAGTAAACGTAGACACGACGTGGATTCAAAGTATGTAGAGGCAGAACGAGTCAAGAGGCCGCATCTGAGACACTATCGCCAGGTACGGTTTGTTGCGTTTTGAGTTTGCGTGTGTTTTGAGTGTTATGTTTGGGCATGTGCAATTTGATCTAACCAGTGTTCGCAAATAATTAGTTCCTCTTCAACATATCAGCTGCCGAACTATCAGAAGCAACATCATACAAAGTCCCACCACCAGAAATCAAAACAGTCTGTGAATGCCTGTGCTTGCTCCGAGGTGGCAACAATCATCCCTTAACAGGTCCAGTGTCCGCACCCACATCACCCACAACCTTCCCAAACGGTCCAGTAGACGTCGCTCATCCAACAACACCCAACGTATCAACACGACCATTCGGCGACGAGTCGTCTCCACCAGTCATGTCATGGTCTTCGCTCAAAAAGCTAATGACTCGCTACGACTTCCGAACATGGTTGACGAATCTTCGAGCTGGTGTAGATTATATTCCTATCAGCAACGTCCGACGAGTTGAACGTATCATAATGCTCGACCCAACCATCACGTATGAGAATCTTCGTCAAGTGTCTATGGCTGGATATAAGTTGCTTATAATAGTGGCTGCCGTGTTACAGTATTGCACCATTGCAGAAGATCTTAGGGTGAAGAGGAGGGAGTTGTCGAACCTGGATCGGAAGTTTACTCGATGCAAGTTGTTTTTGGGCGCCATCTCTGGCAGTGTGGTGGACGAGGATAGATTAGACCATGATGAACAAAGTAGTGAATGTGAATTTGTTAATAGTCGTTCTAGTGTAAGCACACTCACCGGCTAAGATAATTTTTTTTTGTATTTTCTCGAAACAAGATCCAACATATTTCAATAATAATAATGCAACTCATTTATTTAAATTACAATCTTATCTCATCCTGTTTGTTGCGATTGAGGTTCTATACATTGCTACAAGTCTTCGTCATCTTCTTCATCGTCATCCGGTTCCTCTTCTTCTGGCTCATCTCCCCCAAAGAGCCTCCTCAACATATCAATCCGATCGGCCGCCATCTCTTCTTCAGACGAATCTGACATGTTTGCCATCTCATATCCTTCTTCCTCCCCGTCTTCTTCCAGTTCTCCTTCACTATCACTGTCATCCATATCGTCGAGGATGTCATTCATCTCGTCTCTACCTAGCAGTAAGTCAAAGGTGAGCAGGACCTTGTTCTCATTACCCCTCAACTCTTCTGGCAAGGTATGTCGACTCAGGTAATCATTTACGAGTTGTATATAAGGGAGTCTCTTTCGAGTGACATTTGGTTTGACAACATCATCCTTGGCATTCATGGAGAAGGGCGAGTACACACGTACGATACTCTCGACACCCGAAGAGTATATTAGCGGTAGATGCGGGTGGATGAGGACGTTGTTGATTATACTTTTGCCACCAGTCAATGTAAAGTCAGAATCTTCAACAATGACTGGACCTTCCCCACTTTTAGTATTGAGGTCCTTGCTAATATTGAAGCCGTGGACGTTAAAGTCTTCTGAGCCACAAGCAAATACCACTTGTGAGCCAATATAGCTAAAAGCAGGTGTTTTGACCGTGATGACACTTTGATAATAATGGTCTGTCGTTGGCTTTACTCGTAGCTCACATAATGGTGCTGTATTATCTGAGCTGCGAGCATCGAATATAACAGGGAAGTGGTTTTGAATCTGTGCTCCTATATACATCCCGTCTGGCGAGAAGACTGCACTAGATACGTCTCGTTTTGGTGCGGTGAGTACAGATATTGGTTTGGAGTCGTGACCAAAGTTTCTTAAATCCCATAGTTTGATTTCATCGGAGGTATCTGCCGTTACAAACACATTATTGAAGACTGGATTGAATTCGACATGATTTTGTTCTATGATGGTATTTCGTTTAGGCAACGACGACTGTTCTTTCGAGCTGGCTCTAAAGTCGTAGAGCTTCACAAGTCCATCCTGAGCTGCGGTAAGCACTATATTCTTGTTTTCTGAAGATATGGCCAGTTTGAGTACGCCGGCGTCTTCACAAGCTATAATGACCTGTTCAAGACAAGGATGGTTGTCGGCAGATTGATAACACTGAACAAAATGATGATAGCACTGATCAGAATTTTATACTTGCGTCATCAGCATTTGTAGTTGATTGTGGAGTTTTTGCAGCACGTTCGATTGAATATTTTATAAGCAGCCCATCAGCTCCACACGAGTAGACCACATCGTCAAGAGTCTGAACACAGAGAATAATGCCATTGTGTCCCGTAAAGTATCCCAAAGGTGAAGTACTTGAAGGGTCAGAATGTGTTGGCCATATCAACACATTTTGATCATCACCACCAGTCAGGAGTAGTCCTCCGTCCATGCTAAGGCTTAGGGCATTGACACAATCTGTTGATCCGCGTAAGGTTCTATGTATTTTAGTTAGAAACATCAACGTCAGAGCTGCAAGTGTGAAAATGGATGGAATGCACGTGCGGGGCACGTACTCGCAGTAAACAAAAGGACGATTCCTGAGAATATCATTGTATAGGGCAGCTTTGGACCTGGTTCTAGTTGCAATGTGTTGGCTCCTCACCATGTTTCTGTATCTCAGTTAACAGAAGTTCGTAAGCTTTGCGGGGCGTTGATTTATTAAGTTATCAATGGGAGTTTCTAGCTTACTTAGACTAATATCATACTGAAATGCGCTCTACATGATTCCACGAGACTCGATGTCGAATGGTATTCTGAGAACGAACTGGAAAACGACAAAGGACAATTTGAAAATGAGACGGAAACCAACTGTACTATGGATTCATGGATTCAAAATTCTGACGCGGAATCTTAGAGTTCTCTTGTTTATTATTTCTGTCTACTTTCAATATTTGATATTCTTGGGTTTGCACGGGACCGTTCGTGAATGGGATGCGCTGTGCGAAGTTGTAAACAGGTGGAATCCATTTGATGCCGAATAATAATATAAAGTTGATGTTTACCTTCACAGACAGTTCCTCGGTCTTCCCTTCTTTTTCGTGATTCGACACATGCAATTTGACAATTGACACAATCAAGGAAACAATCGAGCTTATTCTGAAACAACCAACGACCATGACAAAGCTGGAAGGAGAGACATTGACTCCAGGTATTCCGCCCAATACCCCGCCCAATCCTGCTTGTATCTTGCGTTGCGCCGATTGCAGTACCTTTCGCATACCTTACTTCAAACATGCACTGACAACCACTCCTTTTCAACATAGTTGTCAATGGGGACGATGATGATTTCAGCAAGCTCATCAAGAAGCTCCCGACTTCGGTATGCCATTCGTAACTACGCTGATCTGTATTGTCCATTTTAAAACAACATCAACCATAGGTAATTCGGGAATTGGCTTTCATGAGCTCAACGACACCTCCAACTTCAATCCAAGAAATGCTGAAGTTACTGCCTCGTGCTGCTGTCGCCGCAAAGTGTCCTGAAATCCTAGCTACTTTCGGTCTCACTGTTGAAGGTCCAATCGAACCCATTCGTCGTGGTAAGTGATCTAGTACGAGTAGTGGCACGTCCATCCCTCCAATCCCATCATCAATTGAAACGATGTCATCCTTGTATCTTGGTGGTTTGCGGCTTCACAAACTCACGGATGGACAATCCAAGTGGTGACTGCTTCGCACTATTTTCATTATATTCATCACATTGCTTTCGCTCTCTCCCTCGACAGATGAGCCGCAACTAAAGATTGATAATCTGACCACTGAAAAGGAGGCCGCAAGCTTCCTGGATGCTCTAATGCAACAAGAAGATGAGGCTCTTCCCTCTGTCCAACAGACGCATCAAATGCAACCTGCTCCTTCTACAATAAGTACCCAATCTATGATACAGCAACAACCAAACCAACAAGAAGATAATAACAACTTGAAACGCACTGTGCCTATAACGATCTTGTCCAACTCAGTGCTTGCTCCACAAAACCAAAAGCTAGCTACAATCTCTCTGCCAATACGATACGTCGATGAAGCGCAGCTAGCTTGGAACAACCAAAACAATGCTACTACCAAACCAAACGGTTATAGAAGTGGAACTCCTCCAGCCCCTGTAACTGGTGCCAAGACGATAACTCTTCCAGCCAGTGCTACCACCGCTATTACTCATAATCCATATACAGCGCCTAACTCTTCTACCATACCTGCCTTGTCCTCCGCATCCAACTCTGCAGCATCATCACCAGCAAATACTCCGGGATGGCATGTAACATCATCAAACACAACTGCCGCAACACCCCAACATCACCAACAACAACCACAGGCACAAAGTAGAATTATAGAGGATGCAATCTACAAGGCTCGTGACAATATTCGAGTACGGGAGCGCGATCTTGAAGATCACATTGTTGACTTGAGAAAGGCTGAAAAGGCGTACGACGATGCTCTACTTCAAGAATCACACTGTATGAGAGCTTGTGAAGATGTGCAACGTCAAATCTTGGACTTGGAACGCAAGCTGGAAGAACGTCGCAAGTTTCTCAAAGAAGCTCAACAAGATGTGATTCTACGTAACTCTCGTGTCAAGGATTGTCGAGACCGTCAGTATAAACAAGCCTCGGAATTGGAAATGCTACAAAAGGACCTGTCTGACTTGCTGTCCAAACGTGGGCGAGATCGCGACCCGCGAGTCAATAGTGATCGTGGCGATCGATACGATCCTAGAGATAATCAAGACCAACGATATAATAGGCCAGTACCTGATGATATTCGAGGTGGTAAGAGGAGGAACGACTCGTATCATCCACCGACAACTCGACAAGCGCTCGACAGGTACGATCCATATGATAGATATGAACAAGATAGTCGAATCAGTAAGGACCGATATGATGTGCTACCAACAAGAGATTCATACCGAGATGATGGACCATTGTACCGAAACGAGGTTGCTAGAGATTCGTATCGAGACGACTTGTATCCTGAGCCCCAACGAGGCAACGGCGCTAGGAATATTGATAGTCGTCCAAGAGGTGGGAAGGGTATGAATGGAAGCAGTATCGGCGGTGCTGGTGGTAGTAGTCGTAGAATGTCTCCTCCACTCTCTGGAAGGTCTTCTAGGACTCAGACACCAAATCCAAGTCCTCCTAGGTCAAGTGCAAGTAACGTCAACACAGCCAGCACTATTGAAGTCGTCGAACGTGTGATCTCGCCTCCTACGGTTGCGTATGCCAGTGACGGAAGAACTAGACTAGGCCCTCCTTCAGCATATTATATTCAAGAAAAGCAGGATCAGTCAACAGTGCCAAAGTCGTCAGTGATTGTGGTTGAAAAAGCAGGAACTGTCAATAGTGCCAGTACTGCTTACAGAGCTAGTACTGGTACTAGTAGTAGTAATAGTGCAAGCCAAGAAGCCGTGCAAAGCAACTACCACAACAACAACAACCATTACAACAACACATCATCATTTACAAACGATAATAAACGCCCAAGAGACGCTGATGCTTCTATTGATGATGGATTGAACAATAACAAGAAACCAAAACACATGCAATCATAGATAAAACTACTGAGCTTTTTGTTGTAGTTCACACCCACTGTATAGTATCTTGGCCTGAAAACAGTAGAAAAGAGACGACACTCCCCAGAATAAAGATTTTCAACTCTCTGTAGTCAAATTATGTTTACATTTGTCCACAAGTTGTTTTTGTTGTGACTTTAGTATATTGCGATTTGTTCATACACTATATAATGTTACAATCTTAACACAGAGGCGAAAAACGCGGGCAGCAGAATCGCGTAAATGCACTTCTTGAAAGGTTCGTATATCAGGCAACACATCGTCATCATATATAATACAGGCTAATACCAGTCTCTCTGGATTGCAACGAACAATCAATTCCTCCAGAAGTCTTAGGGTGCTTGACATACTTCAGGCAACCATCAATACCAGTTCGTTTGAAAGGTTTGATGGTTTTTAAATAACATCCTTCAACGCAAAGCGTGTTGAGTTGCCCTGATACGAGACTTCATGTGAAGCAACTATCCCCAGAGCTTGCTCAATTTCTTTGAAAAAAGTCCTGTACCAGAAAAAGGCTTACTGGCATGCAAAGATAGCACTTTAACACAGTAGCACCTCGAATACATGCTTCTCATTCCCAAAGACACATGCCAACGGCTTTCCAAGTGGTTTTGAGAACCGTCATTCTGACAAATGCATTCACATTAGCATCATATGTCGTTCTACCTCGTTACAAGAAGTTATCGAGCAATGACTCGAGGTGCCTTGATAAACAGTTCGTATTCTACGAAAGAATAGCAGAAAACCGCGCCATGTCCAGTTTGTATTGACACCTCACAGCATTAATCGTCGTCATTCACAAATACCAATCATCATTACATGAGCATCAAGTAGCACCTTATCATCAGCTGCACTAGCTGCGTGTCTGGCAGCATCGTCTAAAAAGTATTCGAAGTATCAAACATGGTCTTCATTATTCGTTTATGTGTCGATGCTACCACCGATCGAGGACTAAGTTCACTGCATTCCTTCCAGCTTTGCATCCGTTCAGCAAGGCTCTGCTCACAATGCAGAGGGCAAGATGACCAGTGCGAGAAAAAATCAGATACAATTGGCTTCTGCACATTGACATACAAAGACAACCTTGAATGACAGCAATACGCCAGCTCGACAACTAGGGGGTTTCTAGGCGTCTATGGCCATACCTTGACCATCATACCATCATTTCAGAAATGCTCAAGCCCAACGAACAAAAAAACTTCCTTGCAATGTCAAAATAGCCCTAACTAGAAGCAGCTCTTGAAAACATGGTACCCAATGGCTAGCTTCTTTTTCTCAAAAGCAGCATCAAGAATGAGTAGGCAACGAGTATGCGGTGGATTTGAAATCACGAATGTTGGCTCGGGTGGCACATCTAAGATAGTATTCAAGACTCAGAGCAATTCCACATGAAGAGTGCATCGTTGAGTGAGTTGGATATGTGTTCGAGGCTGGCACTATAGAATCAATCGTAAGAGAGGTGCGAATGACACAAATGTATCCATACAGTCCTAGATTTTGGCTTTTTTTGCTGTTGTTTATCCCAAACACTTACTGGCCCTTCTTGGAGATTCGCACATAAGAAGGAGCTTCATGGGTCTTGAGCCATTCATAAATAAAATCAGTTCTTGTCATTCACCCACACAAAATTTCTGGAGTATCTCGCAAACTGGCTCAAAGCAGTAGAAGTAGAAGAGAGGTTGTGTCTTGGCCTAAAGCCGTAGACAAGAAGTAAAAACAATTCCCAAAATAAACCTTTGAACTCGGTTGAATTCTTCAAGAAGTGGTGTTTGTTGAAATCCGATAGAAGCAAAGCAGTTCCATCTGAAATAATGATCTCTAATGAGTGAGAAAAATGCGAATATACACACGATATACAATATTGGCAAGCTGGAAAAGCGAAGAAGCGAAGAAATGTATTCTTCAGAGGCTTCCGATATCAGGCAACACATCATCAATAGATATATCCAAGCGAACTCCACTTTCTGGATAGCATCGGACAATCAATTCCTCAAACCATCGTAACCTCCTCAGCACTTCTTCTTGCGTGGCGCGCCATACAACAGGCAATAATCCCAATTCTTCGGAGAAGTGCTTGTCGACTCTCTTGTATAATGCTTCAAGGCCCTTCTTGATCTATGAGTGAGAGTGAGCGAGAACAAGTTAAGTTATACGACGATATGAACTGTGGTTTTTCTTCGCATTCCACAAGCTCAAGGACTTCATACGTACTTCTTTACCAGGATACTTTTTAATGACATCCTTCAAAGCATTCTTGTTGAATTGCACTCGATACGAGACTTCTTCAGGAGCTGCGGTTTTCAGGGCTTGCTCGATTCCTTCAAAGAATTCCTGTTAAGGTAGAAAAACAGAGTGTCAAATTCCCTCAACAATCAATCTCTGTGAACACGACAAGCAACTCGAGACTCGCTTCTCAACTTCAAATAAACATACCAACAGCTTTCCAAGTGGTTTACGAATCACCACTTTCACATATGCATTCAAATTAGCATCGTACGTTGTTCTAGCTTGTTTTAAGAAGGTGTCGAGGAATGTTACTCGACGTGCCTTGATTTCTTGTGAAAAGTAGTGCATATTCTCTAAGGGAAGAGCAAAAAATTGGACTCGGTGTACTATCTAAATTGGCGGCGCCATCATTGATACGTACCAATCGTAAGTATATGAGCATTTAGCTGCTCCTTGTCATCAGCTGCACTAGCTGCATCTCTGGCAGCAGCTTTTCCAACAGTATCCAAAGCATCAAACATGGCCTTCACTATACGCTCGTATGCTGAAGCTACCACAGATCTAGCACCACCTTCACTTCGTTCCAGCAAATTTTCCATTCGGTCAACAAAGTTCTAAGCGGTTTGAAAAAGGAAGTGGAGTGGGTCAGATCCGAAAAAAGAAATCAAATGCTATTACCAAACATACAGGGAAAACTTTGAACGACGGCAATACACCAGCTCGACGCCTCGATACTTTCGAATCGTCGATAGCCCTGATTTGATCGTCCTAGTAATGTTTACGACGTTGAGAGACTAAAAAACCGCGCACGGAAACTCCTGATTGTAGTTCTTACCACAAATCTAGAAAACATGGTACTCAATCTCTTATTCCCATCTTCCAAGAACAGCATCAAGAACGTATATGACGTAGATTCCAATTCACGAATGTAAGATTCAGATCGCACCATCATTCCAATGGCAAATGTAGAATCATATTTGAGTCCAGAATCAATCAACATGAACAGTTCGTCTCTGAGTGAGTCGAATATGTGTTCGAGCATGTCACTACCAAGAGTGAGAAAGGGAGTGAGAATGATGACAGACGGCGTTGAATAGTCATTCAAAGTATAAACTTCTCATTTTTTTGCCTCTTAGGACCCGCAACACTTACTGTTGCTTCTTCGAGATTCGTACATCAGGAATAGCTTCACGAGGCTTAAGCCATTCATCTTGTTGTAATGCCCTGACAGCAGACGCACTATGAGGTGTATCATCAAGTGGATCTTGTGGATCCAATGGTGGTTTGTTGAGACTAAATAAATCAGACGAGAAATTTTGCTCTCGAATGATACAAGGCACCAACATTGTCAATACATATGCGACAGCCTAAACCAAAAGATGTGTCACAACGCGGACCAAGAAAAAACATCAAGAGCCGGTAGAGAAAGACACGAACCTCGTCAGGAAGCATCTTATCATCCAAATTAGGTTCATTATCAGCACTAGATGCATTACTATCACGTCGAAGCCCAGCAGCACTACGGGACGGAGAAATCACATCATCGGGATCAAATACACTCCCTCCACCACCTCTTGTTGGTGAATATTCATTCGAGTCAATCGAATCTTTGGTGCCCTTCCTTCGATGACTTGGTTTCCATGCTCCACCAGAACTTTTACCAAATGAAATAGGTGCACGTCCAGATTTTCCATCCTTGTCTCCTTTTAGTGTGGCTAGCGTCTCTCGTGATGTAGTGACTGCAGTTTTGATGGCGTTGGTAGCGACAGAAGTTGCTGATACAGTAGGCAATGAGAATACTAGGAAGGAAAAGGAATGGTTTGTCACGTCGCTGTGGAAAAAAAAAGGCCTATTCTATCACATACAATACGCCTCGTCCAATCCAGTCCGTTTCTGCAAATGATGGGTTCGAATGGGTTCAACTAGTGCTTGAATGTCTCGACTGTAAAGCCTTGACATCTCGATTGTGTATATCTGTGAGAAGGGGAAGGAGGGTCAGTTAGCCAATTTTCCAGGAGAGTGGTGGCGCTTTTTTTGCTAATCAATCGAAAGATTACAAGATTACAGAAAGTTACCTCTTGAATGGCTTGAAACTTCTTTTCATCGAAATCCCTCAACCATAACAAGAGATTCCGTAGCTTGAATATAGCGATTTCGACAAGGTCATGAGCAGGCAAACGACCACGTTTTGTAGAACGATTGGGGTCCTGTAGAGCTTTCTCTACCTAAATATAAGGAAAAAAAGTCAGTATTCAGAACTAAAATATACATGACTGCCTCGGCACGAAAACGGACACTAGTGTTGAGGAGTTTCTTAAAGTGATCTGAAAGTCGAGTAGCAAACCCGTTGGCATATCCAAGATAAAGAGTGATTCTCTCTTGAAATGCAGTCATATCGTTTAATCCTGTATATGATAGTGTATGAAAAATTTGGTTCAATTGCTTGAATGGAACATAGTGCTGAATGAACAGTGACTTTTTTTGCACTCTTGCTAGCTCACCATTGTCAATCTTGGATTCAATAACTTTCTTCAGCCTCAATGTGGCATTTTCACATTGAACAATACCATCTGAATCGTCCAAAGGTTCGTTCTTGAGAATCTCAACTACGAAGCCGGGTAATTTCAAGCGAGCCTATTCGAAAACGTGAATGTCAAAAAAAAATGCCCAATATGAGATTAAATATCATATCCTACGAGCAGCTTCTCCATCTCTGTCACAAGTCCCTTTTGGTTTGCAGCAACGACTTGCATTCCCTTGTTTTTCATTTCAATCTGATGAACATCTTGACCCATGCTCTAGATTTGGGGTAAAAAATGTTATGGACTGAGAATGAGAGTAATCGGATTGTTTGCCACCATGCTACCTTACATTCAAACGACCCGTATAATGTGCTAGCCATTGTTCGATATTGGACAACTCTTGCAATGTTTTGTCAATTTGAACTACAACAGCCGAGGCTTGATCTTCACTTCCAATAATGGCGTGTACATTTGCCTTTGTAAAGGGAATATTCATATCAGAATAGCTGCAGTTTTTTTTGTTGTAACTAGCTAAACTGGTCTCATACCGCTTCGAGTGCTAGCAGCTCGTTGTATAGTCGAGCTTCCAAGGCAGCAGCATCACCACCAACATTCCAGTCAAAATCACTTAGAACTTCATCCAAGTTGATGGGTGGTGGTGCTGGTTCTTCAGGTGCCACTGCGAAAAAACCAGTCAGAGCTACACCTACAAACTGTGAACCATCAGTCTCTTACTGAGCTCTACAGATTGCTCCACTTCATCATCATCTTGCAGAAGGTTACGACTTCCTAATGACAGGGCCTTCTTTAACTCTGCACCAGCAGTATTCAGGAAGACTGGATCATGACCCAATTGATCTGGACATAGAGCGTGTTGATAAGTGTGATACTAGCTTTCAATCAGCACAAATGAAATGAGAAACTCGTACTTCTTAGAGCTGTCTCGTTAATGTTGACGAGTTTGGGTATTTTGGTGCAATACCTCGCCGCGAGCTGCAAAGGAAAAGGAAATTGGTCAAGTAAGAACGCGTGTGATCAACACAATAGAACAGAATCGTACCTTCAATAGAGTATACAAGAGCTCCGCCTTTTTAACTAAATCCTCGACTTCCCACTCAAACACTTTGCCACTGAGACCGACAGCAAATCGTGTTCCCTAAATAGAAGTGTGTCAGGCATGCGGAGCAAAAGAGATGGCGCATACAGACATTGAATTGACGTGTCATCGGTTGTCACTGACATCTTTGGATTCCAATGATCTGACATCATCCAAACTCCAAGTTTTGCTGATGGTGAATTGGGAATCTTTGCCTTCCTGTTTGACTTTATGGATTCGTATCTTCATATTCTTCTTGGCTAATGAGAGTGGATTTGTAGATGAGTTTTAAGTAGGCCTTTAGTGGTGATGGCAAACAGTAAGACGAAGAAGAAAGAAATATGAAGCAATCAATACGAGAAAGATTCGAATCATTCAATGTCACCAGCTACACAATTCCAACACACAGACACATACCAGTGATGCAAATGTATCTAACCTTCTTTCCCTTTGAGTCGTCATCGTCAGCATAGGTGGCTCCACCTTTACTATTAGCACTGCTGTTTGAGTTGATTCCGGCGATAGCGTTATTAGTTCCTCTGAGATTGCCGATTTTGAGGAGTTTTCCACCATCGCGTTCCTCCAAGACACGAGAAAAGATCAATAGTTTCTCGCTGAGGGTGTCTATGGTGGTATTAGGCAGAAATGATCCCGTTCTTGTATGTCCAGATCGCTTAGTAGGACTGGTCGATACAGGAGTAGCAACAGTCGAGTGATCATCTGGGTCAGTGCTGCTCTCGTCATAGCCAATAAAGAGCTGCTTCGTCAGAGCATTGCGAAGGGCTGTCTCGGCCATCGAGAATGGTCGCTCTGTCAACTGGAATGGGTGTTGATCAAAGTTATATGTTTTTGCAAGTTTGAATGTTTTGAACTTTTCGGAAGGCAACCTGAATAGGACATTTCTGGAACTGTCAGTAGCGATTTTTCGTGTATTGGAATCACTTGACACGTAGTCTATCGTAAACAAGACTGAAGACGGACTGGTATGTTGCTCTTGTTGCTTGACGTTCAGTTTGAATGATTTGGAATTGACTCACTACAAACTGAACAACGGAGCATCACGACAGGAAACTATCATATAATACCCTGTTTGTCGCCGAAATCTAACTACCACGATGGCTACTGAGGCAAGTCAAACGAAAGCTGTTGCATTTTTATCACACTTTTGAGCACTTAATGAGCATTTCCTGACATGTCTCATCTCTCTCAGAAGGCAGACTTTCTGGACTATAGGATCCAAATGTTTGATAAACTCATGGCCGAATACACGGAATCTGTCAAGGGCACGTCATTCACAAAGTTCACTTGTTTTTTTTGCTCACATCACAAGCAATACTCATACCTCATCAACCAATTAGCTCAACCAAGAAAAGCAATCAAAATCACACTGCCGGACTCTCGCCAAATCGATGGAATATCTTGGGAAACTACGCCTTTCGACATTGCTAAATCGTTGTCAAAGTCACTGGCCGACAAGGTCGTCATCTCAAAAGTGAATGGCGTCTTGTGGGACTTGCTTCGTCCTTTTGAAGAAGACTCTGTTCTCCAATTACTCGACTTTGAGAATGAAGAGGGTGCGTGTAGCAACGCATGACTCGAGACACGGAATACGTTCGTTTTGGCGTCTAGCAAAGCTTACACGCTTCTACCGTAGGCAAAGCAGTGTTTTGGCACTCATCTGCTCACGTCCTTGGAGAGGCTTGTGAGCTACATTACGGATGTCATTTATCCAATGGTCCTCCTGTTGAAGATGGATTCTATTATGACATGGCCATGGACAAGTAATACCCTAAGATCTCATTTACCTGCGATCTTTCTTCTAACCTGTTCTCCAATCATGCAGGACTGTAGCACTTGCTGATTACGAACATCTAGAAAAACTGGCTCAAAAAGCAGTCAGTGAAAAACAACCATTTCAGCGACTCGTCATGACCAAGGAAGACCTGCTTGAAATGTTCAAGGTACTCTCGAAATCGCAACTAGTTTTTTTTAAGTCACGATACGTCACGATACTCATGGCTTTTCGTCGAGTTGTAGTACAACAAGTACAAGGTTCACTTTATTCGCGACAAGATTCCTGATGGAACGTCCTCCACTGTGTATCGATGTGGTCCTCTCATTGATTTGTGTGCTGGTCCACACGTGCCAAATACAAATAGAATCAAGTCATTCGCCGTCATGAAGGTATTTCATGTGCTCTGGCAATGGTATTTTTTTGTTGGAGCCTAACTCTGGTGAAATCTGTAGAGCTCATCTGCCTACTTTTTGGGTGATGCCAAGAATGACTCTCTGCAACGAATCTATGGTGTCTCATTCCCAGACGCTAAAATGATGAAGGAGTACAAGAAATTCCTAGAAGAAGCCGCAAAACGGGATCATCGACGTATTGGTACCGATCAAGAACTCTTCTTCTTTCATGAATGGAGTCCTGGTAGTCCCTTCTTCTTACCAGCTGGTGCTCGTCTATACAATCTTCTGATAGAACTTCAACGAGTACGTTTTATTGTTGGAGATGAGAGTGGGGCGAGGTCGTCTAAGAATGTGAGATTGAATGAACATTGTTTCGGTAGGCCGAATACCGTCGTCGAGGCTTCAGTGAAGTAGTAACTCCAAACATGTATAATTCCAAGCTATGGAAGACGAGTGGTCACTGGGAGAATTACCAGGTATTTACGTTTTCGGTTGTTTACAATTGTCATATTTACATTCTACCTTTGATTGTATAGGAGGACATGTTCATCTTTGATATCGAAAAAGAAAAGTTTGGTCTAAAGCCAATGAACTGTCCTGGTCATTGTCTCATGTTCAAACACCAAGAACGCTCATATCGAGAACTGCCATTGCGTCTAGCTGACTTTGGTGTATTGCATCGAAATGAAGCTTCTGGTGCCTTGACTGGATTGACTCGAGTACGACGATTCCAGCAAGATGATGCCCACATCTTTTGTCGTATTGACCAGGTAAACTGCATGTTTTTGGCTAGGGAGAAGTGAGATGTTGGTTTTCTTTACGCGAAAAAAATCGTGTTTCCCTCCCCTGAATAGACGTCTATCAGACACCTCTGACTCGCTGACTGACTACGGTCCTCGCTACTAGGTTGAAGGAGAAATTCAAGGAGCTCTTGAATTCCTTCGAGATATATACGAAAAGATCTTTGGCTTCTCCTTCTCCTTAAAGCTATCCACCAGGCCAGAAAAGTTCTTGGGTCGTCTCGAGACCTGGGAGATTGCCGAAAAAATGTTGTCCAACGCACTAGACAAGTTTGGCCAACCCTGGGATTATAATCCAGGAGATGGAGCCTTCTACGGTCCCAAAATCGACATCCGTATATCAGACGCCCTGAATCGTAAACACCAATGTGCAACAATCCAACTCGACTTCCAACTCCCAGACCGCTTCGACTTGACATATCAAAGTAATGACCCAAACCAACAATTACAACGCCCAGTCATGATCCATCGTGCCGTATTAGGTTCCGTAGAACGATTTATAGCTATATTGACGGAAAATTATGGTGGTAAATGGCCATTCTGGTTGGCACCGAAACAAGTCACTGTAATACCTATAATGCCTGCTTCCTATGCATATGCTGAAAAGGTTAAAGCTGTACTGCAAGACGCTGGATTTGTAGCTGATGCTGATGTGTCGGATAATACTCGTGAAAAGAAGATTAGGAATGCGGAAATCAGTCATGTCAATTTCATATTTGTGGTGGGTGCTAAAGAGGAGGAAACGAATACGGTCAATGTACGTAATCGTGATGATACAAATCCAAAGGGGAGGGGATCAGAGATTGAGCTGGGTGTGGTTATTCAGCAGTTGATCAAGTTGAGGGACTCAAAGGCTAGTGTGCAATTCCCATTACCGTAAAAAAGTGACATGTATAATTCTACTTATGGTGTGGTAATACAGAGAAAGTCAAACAGAAAAACGCTCGGTTGAAGCTTTGGCCTGGAGGCATCTGGTTTTTTGTTTGGCTAAGCAGATATGAGGGCAACCGCACTGAAAATACTGTAATAATAGCTCTGCGTGATGGTGTTCTATTTTACAAGATACTAGATGGAAAACATTACATTCTTGCTACTCCTCAGCGTGCTTTTGATATTTCTTGATAGAAATGGGGCGCAAGTTCCGTAAGCCAGGATGATTCTATAACTGTGACGTCTCTCATGAAAAACTTTGTGGTCTCAACAACTATTACGCAAGTCAATCAGATTCTTTTTTGCACCTTGCAAAACACGAGGCAACCAAGTATTTACCTTCATGGAATATAATCCAATTCGGCGAGCGTCGAAACAGCACACTGTTTGGATGTATATTCAAAACCTACACATGAATAAGCGTTGGATAAAAATAAGTGAGATGAAGATATATAAGGCGGGAAAAAATGGCATAAAACCGCAACATGGTTCAGAATCCAAACATTCCAACATCACATACCACATCATCACGCACAGTCCTAAAAGTACCATCCACATGCAACCTCGCAGCCTGTGAAAAGTATCCCGACACCAAACACTTCCGCAACATGACTGTATCTCCCTGACACGATAGCGTGGGATCCAATTTGAATCGAGTAAGGTACTTAGCGAGCTGAGCACGCACTGATACAGCTCGCATCATTGAATTGTAATTGATGAAGCGTTGGCCACACCATTTACGTGATTTTGCGGATTTGAGGAACGCATTGTAAACTAAGAAGATAGAAAATTCGTTGTGAGTGTTTTGGACCAAAAAAAGGGTGAGTATGAACGAAGTCACTACCATTGATGTATGTAATATGATCTCCTTCCTCTACAGCCAGCTTCCGTTTCTGCTCGTCAGCTTCATACCGCTGACTAGCTGGAGTGTAAAAGACATTCTGAACGGATACCATGGCAGCTATGGTCAAGACCTCTTCACTGCACTTGAATCGATGAGAGTTGAGAAGCTAAAATAATGGAGAGATGTGTCATTGAACAATAGACGGATCGGATAGAGAGTTTTTGGCTTCATTTTGCAACGGATGTAAAGCATACCACTGTAGCCATTAAAGGATCTAGAGGAAATTCAGCTAGACTGACACCGAACGGCATCGTGAGACGACCGTAATCATCCAACGCTTTCAGAGAATACAACAGCTATTTATACGGACATGAGTTATCAGAGGATTTTTTCCACCCAGTGCAAGTAACGCAAGACAAACAAAAAGCAATTTACCTCCAAAGCACGTATCATCATCATAGCTGGTGGAGCAGTCAGGAAATCAAATCTCAAAACATTTTCAATGCCCAATGCTTTCAGTTGAAGAATGACTGTAGCTAGGTTGCTCCTATACAAATATATACTCAGACGCTGTTTTTGCTTTAACATCTCCTTTCTTCAAAAACTGACAATCCCACCTTTGCATTTCAGGCACATTGTTACCAGGAAGCTTATCGAACGCTTCTTCTGTATACAGTCTATAAGCTTTTCCAGGTCTGGTTCGTCCTGCTCTTCCTGCACGTTGTTGAGCAGATGCTTGTGATGTTGGGACGACAATCAGACTTTCCATTCCAGTTTTTGGATTATAGGCTCGAATCTAATGACTTTGGCGTAGTCAGACATGGTCAAGAGCGACTTTTATCACACAACCCAAAACATCTTCGCAATGAACTCTTATCATCGTGAACTTGCCTTGACGAATCCAGAATCAATGACATAGACAATCCCCTCGATCGTAATCGAAGCTTCAGCAATATTCGTCGCAATGACGACTTTGCGAGTATGAGGAGATGCTGGCTTGAAGACTTCTAATTGCTCGTCCATTTGCAAACCTCCGTAAATCGGCAGAGCTTGAATTTGCATGGCCTTGGAATCCAACCTATGTCACGAAAGTAGGAGTAAAAAACGGAACTGTGAATATGATAAGGACCACAGCAAGTCTTACATGACTGCTCGCTCTGTGATGAGTGAAGAAACAGTGTCAATCTCCTCCTTTCCTGTGAGGAAGATTAAAATGTCACCGGGAGCTTCCTACATGGCAGTGGGGGTTTGAGTACACGAACAGAGACGTAAGACCTGGTTGAAGATCCAAACCATACTTGAGAGTGAATAGAAAACGTCACGTCCACTGCGGTTTCCAGATAATCTGATGTTGCTTCCTTGAGATAATGAATATCAACAGGATACATTCTTCCTTCCAACGACATGATTACGGCACTATCCAAAGTCCTGTCTGGTGTCATATTTGTATTGAAAAAGCCCTGAAAGGCTTCAGCGTCAATTGTGGCTGATGAGATAATCACTCGCAATTCCTCTCGTTTCTTCAAAATCCTACATATAGTGGAAATTGGATCAATTTTTCAATCAATGAGCCAGCCAAAAAACACAGAGTATGTGTATCATATGGTTTAGCAACATACTTTTTAAGAATGCCAACTAGAATATCAGTATACAGACTCCGTTCATGAGCTTCATCCACCATGACGACACTATATTTCGACAAGAGTGGATCCAACATGGCTTCTCGAAACAGCATTCCGTCAGTCATGTATTTGATCCTTGTCGCGGTTGGATGTGTCTTTTCATCAAAGCGAACCGAGTAGCCTACAGTAGTTCCAATAGGTACAGCCATTTCTTCTGCTACTCTGGCAGCGACTGTTGTGGCAGCGACTCGTCGAGGCTGATCAGAACGTGTGTGGTTTAGTACTAATATGTGAGGGTTGAGAGTGGTCGAATTCCAACCAACCTGAGTGCAAGCTACAACTCGACCTTCCGCAGTCCAGCCAGCTTCATGTAGATACTGTGGCACCTCTGCACCAAAGTATTTGAGTCAGTGTAGCAAAACAAACGGAAGTCGATTACCATATTATAACACACGAGTTGTCTTTCCAGATCCAGTTTGACCAACGACCACCACAACCTGATACTTTTCCACCAGATAAAGTAAATGATCCTCTACAACGTAGTGATTAGATTAACAGACCATAGCAAACTTTCAGCATCATAGCTTACTGTTTTTGGCGATTGGCAACCTCAATCGTTGCTGACTGAGAGGTAGAGTTCCATCGTATGCATTATATACAGCTACAGTATTCTCAGTGTCGCCATCACGGTCTTGATGACTCCCTATGGACAAAAAAAGAATGTCAAAATGTAGTTTGATTTGGCAGTTCAGGTCCAACTCGAACGAAACAAGACGGTGAATGTAATGTTGAATGCGATCCAATGTAAATGGTGAAGCATGGTTACCTGGAGCAATACTACCTGGCTAAAAGAAACGAAAGGTAAACCTGTAAGCTTGTATTGTCTTAAACATTTGGGTTGAGCTTGTTGGACGTACCTTCCAAAAGGCCATGGCTATATCAATCTAGTATGAATATGCATGAGCAAACTATGGATAGCTTGAACAGAGTGTGGATGCCAAGACTACAGCCGTATTTTGTGTCTGTGGATGCTGGAACCTAAGTTACGTGATTGCTAGATGACTTTACAGATGTTTGAAGACCGTAATCCGTGATGTACACCGATTAACACGTATTGAATTCTGTGCGCTTGCTGTACAAGCTGTGCTGGAAGAGTAATATGTTTGAAAACCAAACGTGCCTTGCACTCAAGCCACTTCCACTATAGAAGATGGACATGTTCTGGCGTCATGTAGTGTAAGTACGCGGTTGCTCGCTCTCTATAGCTCCATAGCGTCTTTCGTCTTTCATCTCACTAAGGCGCAACGGTTTTCATAGTGACGCCCGTTCGCCCAGTTTTCAAAACCACATCAACAAACCGTCAATCTCGAAAGCTCACTCTACAGCCCTTCGTAGCATACTAAAACAAGGGCACCCAACCAGAACCCAGATAGAAACCATACCACCCATCTAATCCTCCACTCAACTGCCAACGGGAGCCCATGTCAGCCTCAAGAAATGCAAATCCGAAAAAAACACCCACTACACAAGCTGAAGTTATGAAATCTTGGGTTGAGGAACTGAAATTGAACTTTCCCAAACGTTCTACTACAAATCCTCTACTCCCTGAAGCCCCCTCACCACCAACATTACAAGCCGAATCTCCTTTTCTCCATGATGACGGTGACGACGATACATGTAGGCCTCAATTAAACCTGAACTCTGTGTACTTGCCACCTCCATTCAAACCCCACATCCTTACTTACTCTCAATTCTGCACATAGGCTCCAACAATGGTGAACAATACGACGAGCTCTATGCTGATCTTATCAACGATCAGGATGAAGATGACGAAGCTGACATGTATGAAGACATCCTTCCTATCGTCAAAACTATATCTGCAAAGCATGTTGCCACAGTCTCGGAAAATGTATCTGCAAATGTTGTTGCTACTGTCTCGAAACCTCAGCAAGAACCTATCATCATAAAACAGGAACAGATGACTCCAAAGCCCATAGATCCTCCTACTCCCACTCTAGCACCTGAATTTGGTGGTGAAGCTGATGAAGACGAAGAAGAAGATAGCGGTGACGACGTACATGATCTCCAATTGAAACTGGAAGATGGTCCTCCGGTCTTCTTTCCTCCATTCGACGTAAGTTTCCCAACTTCTTTGGATAACAACATACCCTCTCAGTGTACTAACCATGTTGCTTCAAAAAGGACAATATGGCTTCCTCTCCCGTGACAGATGCCATGGTGTTTGGATCAAGCAGGAGACCTCAGCATGTCTTTGTATGTCCTGTTGCAGATTGCGACAAGTACTTCACTCGTAAATATAATTTAAAGGTATGTCACCATTCTAGCAAGTCACATCTGCAATTGCAAAAATCAAGGAATCTAACCAAATATCCAACCAACGTTTAGATACACTATAAGATACATGATGCAAACAGAACGAAACCTTATCTATGCACATACTGTGATGTACGCTTTGATCGTACTCATGACTTGATTCGCCATCGCAAAACTCTCAAGTGCAAGAAAGCTGCTGTAAGTGATTGATGTCCCCTTTAGAGTCTCTGAAGTTACATCCTCCTCAAATCTGACCCCATCCTTGTATAGGTACGTTAAAGAACAGCAACACTTCTCAAACTTATTATCATGCTTGGCAAACTCTTTGTTTTTTCTGGTGCGCACTTTGCTCTCAAAGGATTATGGCTATTGACAACAAGACGAAAATCACGAAACAGAGACTCAAACCCATTTTATTTCTCTCACCAAGCTTGGAAGCTTGGGTGATTTGAAAGAAATTTTAAACAATTTTGCTGCACAGCACACGGCAGAAACATCATGATACATCAAAAGCATGAAACAGTAGTAAATAGTTGCTATAATCCCCTTCGAAATATATTCGTCGTTGTTTATGAACACTTATAATTATTGTGATCGTTGCTGTATGATACTATAGTAACTGTATCAGATCCGCAGCACAAGCTTGCATTATTGCAGTCAACACTTGGATCTGCGAAGAGCAGCCATGTACGTGATTATACGCGTAAGTAACGCACAGGGAGGATCGCACTAGTGAAAACACCACAAATCGCTTGCTCCCGCTAATTCAACTCCGGATTCAAAATTCAAAACTTCGTGGCATCAAAACACTGCCCAACACTCTGAAGGTAAGACCAGCTCAATCAAACCATCCTTTTAAGAACCCCCAGAAGCTAACAATTTGCAAAATCTTTATCTAGCCTCATTACCACGCAAACGCTATGAAGCTCTCAGCTCTGCATCAGAGTTTTCGACAAACATCCCTATTCCCGATAATCGTCAAGCGATGCACCTGCAAACGGAGCATATTCAATGACATGAATGACAGGAATCTACGTAACGGGTTTGTGTTGACTCATGCGCAGGAACGGAAGGGGTTTGAGAAATCCAAAGATTTGATGGTGGTCTTTGGATGGTATGGCAGCAATGAGAAGAATTTGAGGCATTGTAAGTTTCCGTTTTGGTGTTTTGGGAGAGCGAGGATGGTGTTTGCGGGCTGGTTTGCTGCTTGGAAAAAAAGAAATACTACTAAGACCTCAAGATGTCGTTGGATTGTTGTTCAAAGAAACACATGTACTAATTTAATAACTCTGTCCCTCACTTAGACGTCGCTCTCAACAATCGCATGGGATTTGACACGCTGACACACATCAGTCCTGCTAAAATGCTCTACAACCCAAGGGACTTTTTCACGTCCTCGCAGACTCTGGTTTGTTACCCTTCCTGTTCCATCTCACATGCAAATACTCCACCTCTAACCTCGCTCTACATACCCTAGTTATCAAAACTGATACCCTTCTGGATTGAAAGACGGAAACAACCAGGCTTCGAAAACGCTGCCGTCAGATTCCACGTATTCTCAAATAACGGGATGTTTTCATATTCGGTGATGGCACAAACAGTAGCCATACGTCTAGGAATCGAAGCTGTGAATTCACCACTACCAGCACGACTGGCACCAGCGTTCGAAAACATCCCAACATCTGATCTAGAGCTATTTTGGAATTGTATGAACTCACCAGCTTCACGAGTGGTATGTACCAGTGTATGAAAGAAGCCGACTTTTTGCACAATGGCTTACATTCCGTCGAGTAGGTTTGCGATTCAGCTCCGGCACCGCTGGTACCTGATCTAATAGTCAGAGGCCAGATTGCAAGCCTGTCGGGCAGCAAGGTTGCCAAATTCTTCGACTTAAAATACCGAGAATACATACCGGTGGTGTCGCCAGCTCTCGAGTTGGCGTATACAGTGTTTTGCAGGACTCCATGGATTAAGCATTACTTGTCGAGGATGCATCTGTCGTTGCGACAAGTGCCGGGGAATGCAAGCTATCTGTTTGTCTATGGGGGAGGTGATCGTGTGATTAGAGCAGAGATTATAGAGGTATGTATTTTGCAGTTTCGATGCAAAGACCCGACGACAGATGTCTCAGGATAAACTTTCCATGTAGTTCTACATCAAAGAGTTACAGCAACGAGGGATAGATGTTAAAGCCAAGAGATTTGAGGACTCTGCTCATGTGTCTCATTACCGCGAGTACACGAATGAGTATACTGATGTCGTCCGTCAATTCCACGGGTATGAAAGTGTTTTTGTTTTGTCTACGACTTCGACCTAGACTAAGGCTGATCGCTCTTGCACAAAATAGCTCGGTTGTTCCTTTGTACTACTTTGCCTCTCTTTCCTAATAGTTGTAAAAACCACGGGCCAGTATAGACCATCCACACTGTAATAGAACATAGAAAGACCTCATATGCACAATAGTCAGGCAGTAATATATACAACTTATAGTATTCACCACCAAGCAAATTATTACAAGATTCAGTCCGTATCAAATACGAATCAAATGGCGACCTGTTACTAATGATTGATCACAACGACCGAGACAATGATAGCAATAACGACCGCAAAAGTGCTAATCATGAACAAGCATGTGTATGCCCAGTACTAGAGAAAAGGTTTGGTTAGTTGTCGCTATGCTTACTCTTGCAAACTACAAATTCATACCTTCTCTCCTCTAATCGGGCTGCTCCCCCAAAAGACTCCGGCAAGCCATATAAGAGGGCACAAAAATCCAATCAAAAATAGAATCTATTAATAAAAAACACAATCATCTTTAGCGGATGCAAAAGAACCAACAGATTATGATCAATTCATGCTCACCATCGGAGTCGACACAACCCACAAATCAGTATCCGGCGATTCAACCACCATAACGACATTCCCAACATCCTTCTCCTCATTCCGCATTGTATCAGTCGAATCTGAACTACTGGTCGAATCAACACTAGCAGGTGTCAGATTCCTAATCGTCCCTTTCGTCAATGGGTACAAGACACTCGACGGCCTCTGCTGAGCAGCATCCATTCCAACAGATAATCGCGACCTAGAGTTATTCCACGTCGCAGTAGATCTAGTCCTCACCGACGCATCCACCACATCAGTACTCTCCGACCTCAACAGTGCTGGATCATACGGATTTTCATCATTCATCAAGAACGCTACTTGAGCAGCGTCACCCTCACCCAGCATGATTGTTCCTCGCCATGTTTCAGGTATATGCGAGTATCGCACTGTTTCCGGTTGCGCGGTGGCGACTTCGTCGAGGTTTACGAGATCTACTTTGATGCCGTCCGTGTTTGTGACTGATGGGTATACAAAGGGATAGCTGGCTGATTCGTTGAGGGCTTCGTCGTCGTCTGCGTCTATAGGTTCTGGGATTGCGTAGGGGAGGGTGAAGAGTCCGAATGTGAAGGTGCGTACTCCGTCACCGCGATCAAGACTAGGACGTAAAATTGAGTTATTGGTATAATTGTGTATAAATGATAGATTTTGAAGTATAGATCTACTCTGGATCACGACAGAACTGCAAAAAACCCCCAACAACGATCAGACAGACAAGCACACACAGTGCACTCTCACCTTTGCTTTCTTTTAGGTGGCTTATGAGCAGCAGCAGATTCAGTACGAGCAGGCTGTGGAACTTCCATAAAAGACGGTATTGGTGCTCTAGTCATGGGAGGTGATGTTTTGAATTTAAAGACACGTCCAATGTCTTGACCGCTACTGTTTTCAGTATAAGTAGTTGCAGGCGAAGTAGGAGATTCATTACTATTTGATAGAGTGTCGAGATCTCCGTCTTTGCTAGTAGTACTTGGTTTTGGATCAACCTGTTCTTCAATGTCGACGTTTTCATCGTGATCTACTAGTTCCGGGACAGATGGAGATGATGCAGAGACTTCATCTAGTTCTACTAGTTCGTGTACTGATGAGTCCGTGTCCATTTCCTCCATGCTTATAGTCGACATCTACTCTGATTGAAATTGTTTGAATTTCGTATTTGACGTACATGTGGATTGCCGAGAAAACAGCAGATGGCATCAGATCAAGATGGAAGACGCGTGGAAAAAGCCATTTAAACGTTTAACCTGCCTTTCTAGCGTGCAAAGTGCTCCAAGCTCGAAGAGGTGGCAGAAATTTGGAGCTTTTATTTGTAGTGCTTACTTAGTAGCCACGATGTTTGGAGGACTAATAAGTAGATTAGCAATAGGCGCTACTACTAGGATATCATCTCTGCCAACACAATTACGGAATCCAGCTCTCATACGGCCGATACAAGTCTCGACAACAAAGAAGCTCACATACGCATCAACAGAGGCACTAAAGCAAGGCTCGCAGTATAAAGATCTTGTATCAACAAAAGAACGAAATGCCTTTATACCACCTCCACGAGGTCTGTCTCCTGGTCTATCGTGACGATGCATCAAAATCAAAACTCACAAAAAAATCGATGCTTCAATCTAGGCGAATGGACTGATGTCAAGTCTTTCCTGGCGGCTATAGGTCGTAACGCAGAGTCCGCTGTAGATAAATTCAAGGACTGGAATCACTTCTTCACTGTGTCCCCGACTGAACTGCCGACGCTGGTTTCTGACGTTCCACTGAGAAAATACATTCTGTCGTGGAGAGAGTGGTACAAGTATGTACTGGTGAATACATTTGAAGTGTGGAACCACGTTCTGATCAAACCCTTCCTTCAAACTTTGACGTATAGACAAGGCTATAACCCATACGCAATAGCTGTACCAGTCAGAAGGAAAAAGTACCTCAAGATTCGTGCCAAGGTGCAGCTGGCACGGTTGAAGAAGCAAGGGTTGGCATAACTTAATCTAGCTATTCTCTTTGTAAATCCTTCCTGCATCAGCATAAACCCAACAGTTTTGCATCAAGCCAAGCACCGACAGTTCCAACAGCTTGATATAGTTTAGCATGTTTATATTTTATAGCAAAGTTGCGTATACAATCAAAAGCCTTCTTTGAATTCGTTTGTTTCAGCAACCCTTTTATAAAAGTGTTTAGTGGTGAGCTTCGGCGTGATGGTCCTCTGCTAGTGCAGCGAACTGGTTGGCTTCACGTTGCTCATCCCACTTTTCGACCTAATTCCCATACGAAATGTATTACCATCATGATGTTTTCACTGTCCAAGGAAATCAACACTTCGACAACAGCCAAAAAGAGAGCTCAATTGTATGAAAGGAGCACGAAATAAATAGCCGGCACCCCATATACCCGACTGTCGTCTACGCTATTTCCCTCAATCAACATGTCAAGAAAGAGTCATCCTACTGTAAAAAACTCACCCATTTTGTTGGACAGATTGAGTTATATGCCTGTCGGAATTGCTGGCATGGAGCATAGTCATCACCCTTTGCCTTCACGCATTTGAAGAAGTCTACATAGTTTTGCCAGCAGTTACGAGTCTGTATTGGTAGAAATGTCAGTTTCTGGTATTTTGTCGAAACCGGATGTTGCTTAACGAGGCCATCAAGCGGGTTTAGTACCTGGTTGGTATTGGGGAATCGAGCATCGAATCCTACAGTCTTGACTACGCTAGTGTCGGACATGTTTGGTATTAGTTGGTATGTCGGGTTTGCGAAAGAGCGTTTTTGTGGTTTCGTGTGTGAGGTGAAGAGGAGCCAAGAAAAACACGTCAGAATAGTGGATGGAAGAGGCATGGGAATCTTCATTGAAGTGATTCAGTTACCAGTTACTCAGTGCATACGCAGGCTCCAAAACGCGCAACTGAGACATACAACACAGACCCAATTCCAACCGTGACGGTCCGACAAAACACGATAAATTAGTGTATATTTGTGTCAGATTAATACTCTTTACTAAATCACCAAAAGCTTCCCAACAGGGCTCTTCCCCTTAAACACGAACAAGCTCGATCCAAACAGCCCAATGGTTATCGCGAGTCCAATCAACACCATCTGAAGCGCAAACTGCGTCCCGTCAAGATAAGCACCACCAAGTAAGCCCAACCCAGCTCTTATACCAAGCGACCCGGGTACCAACACTAGCATCGAGGCGAGAATGGGAGTGATGGCGTTTTGTTTCAGTCCTAGCGCCCAGATGTTGGCCAGTATGCCGACAACGAAAGCAGCAATAGCTGGTGTGATGGTATAATCGAATAGGTTTGATGCGAATATGCTGACAGTAAACCTATTCCAAACGGAGATTACCACACGTTGTCCATGGTAGGGTTGACGGTGTAAGTACTTACGCTATGAGAGCAACTCCGGTCATCACCGGCCATTGTCGAATGTTGGCTTGAAAGAACATATTAACGACCTGCGCGAAGAAGAGGAAAGTTATTGAGCTTGCCAACACAATGTCTCTGAATGATCAAAGCAGCAACTTACAAAACTGTATGGAAAGAAGAAAATGTATCTCCAATAGATATCTAAAGATGGTCCACATTGAAGAGGTAACAAATCCGTAAGTTGAGACGCACTCTTCCAAAAGACGAGGCTCGTTCCAACAGATATTCCAAACCCGAGCATTAGAGCTTGGAATAGAGCTGAAAACATTCTGGTGGTTCCTGCAAAGAAATTGTACGTGTGTAAGTAATTGATTGTGAGTGCAACTACATTCATCTTTATGATCATACCTGAAACGGCGTTGGCGGTTGTCATTTCGATAACCGCAAATGTAAGAGCAAGACCCTTGGAAGTTGATGGAGGTTTGTGAGATTTTCAATTAATGAAAATAGGTGCAATTGCTCACCGGAAAGAGGGAGGCAAGTGATGAAAGGACTGGTGGACTGAATGAGAAGCACACTCCGCTAGGTCCCGGATCTGGAATGGCTGTTTGGATAGCAAGTACGATAAAGCTAACCACCAACGGAGCGAGGAACGTCATCAGGAGCTTCAACTGAGGGAACCTAAGAAACCAGATTTTCAGTTTAATCAAAAATCTACGGAAAGTTATGAGCAAAGCTTACTTTTCACTGAAATGGGACATGATACTAACAAGGATTCCCATGCCGGCACTCAACAGCGAGTCCCACCAACGCCCACCAAACGATGTGATGCACAGACAAAAGGCCATTACGGGTATCAACACGAACTTTGTTAGAGACGAGTACCCTTGTATATGGTCAATCCTCACAAGCTCCTTCAGCGCGTATTCTACATATGCTCTATCTCTTTTCGAGCCAACCACAAGATCATTACATAACTTGTTCGTCTCGTAAAGCTTTGTGAGATGTATGCCTTGTTGGATTTTGAGTACGTGGGTTTCTGAAGTTTGCGAATCGGAATCACCAAAAGTCACCATGACGAGAGCAGGCAGCAGTACTATTTCACATTCTACAGCCAAGTCTTCAGCTACAGACTGCAAATGCGCTTCAAGCCTATGTGATGGTGCTCCGTATGCCGCGAATGACACTACAAGTTTAATGAGTAAATCGTACTTGAGCCGTCGCAGCTAAAAAAATTGTGAATGTGAGCAATGCTATCGCTTCAAGTTCAGAAAGCGATTGAGTAGCATTTTTAAACGTGCACAAACCTGGTCATCATCCGATTTCTGAGTCCCACTTCTCGATACCGAATAAGACGAGTTTTGACGTGACACCCCAGAATCATCAGAATCCCTTACATTGACGTCCTTCAGATGCTGCGTAACAGATATATTCTGTGAGGCAGGCAAGAAGATTGGGGGACTGGGCGCAAAAGCTTGATTTATAGATGCCAGAGTAGCCTGTCTCACAAGGGTATGTTGCATCAGACTAGGCGTCAAGGACGCTCTTCTGATAAAATCGGACTGCTTTCCTGTGCTGAGGCTAACTACGGGAGCTGATGATGATACATTGTCTAAAAGTCCTTCCTCGTCAGAATCACCAGCATCGTCCACCGCAACTACTGCAGTTAATGGATGAGATTTAAAGGATGGTGTTGGTGCGAGGATAGATACTGTTGGCCTTCTGTACAGCAGATCAATTGAATTTGACGTTTGTTGGGAAATCGATGTTACAGGAGGAGTAGTCGACAGTGGTGAAGGCGGAGTAGTAGATAGCTGAGCTGACGAATCAGACAGATCGGCTAGTGATGTTAAATGTTAGCGTTCGGTACAGAAATCTGATCGAAATTCATTACCTTCAGCTTCAAACTGTGAGAGAGTTGATTCCTTCATTTTTAACGACATGGATGCAGAGGAATAGATAGCTTCAGAATCAGTATTAACAAGATTGCAGATTCAGCCTGTTGTTGTTATAAGTGCTTTGATGAAGCTTTGGATCAAGAAGTTTTTTTTGACAGATTTGACAGCTAAGACAACGTGATAGCGCAGGCTGATAATAAAACATGAAACGTGACTTGACGCGTCGAATGGACCACTGAAATCACTGATATTGTTCGATTGAACTCATCGGTATGATTCGAATGATTTCGTAACAGTGTCAAATTTGGAGCAAGAATAACGAAACTTGAGACTAGGCGCCACCTGATCGTGAAAACATCCATTGAAATTTGAAATTGATGAATTATCACATAGATTAAGCTAGCGAGACGTCCCTTCCATGTTGGCGAATCGGTTTAAAACGTCAACAATCCAGCACAAATGTTTGTTCTTGAATACCACGACTTCCTTGCAAGATGCTTCTGTGAAATCGGGACTCATACACAATAATACGCGTTACATTAGGATACAAAACTTGATTGCAGTTGCATTGAGCGATTCGGCGTGCATCGCTCCCATTCGTTCCAATTCAAACAAAATACGTACTCAGTCTCTTCTTGTCCATTGCTGCGTCCTAGAGAGTCACTATGTCAGGACCACCACCAGCGATTGCTCCTCCAACAGCGCCTGCTGAAGCAAAGAAGGTATGCTTAATCGCCAGCGATTACTTCCAAACGACAACTTTGTAACCTATTATGATACACAGGCTACCTTGTCAGGATACGTCGGTTTTGATTCTCTGCCATCTCAGATCGAAAAGAAATTACTCAAGAGAGGCTTCTCCTTCAACATCCTCGTCGTAGGCAAGCACACATTCAAACATTGCGAAAGGAGGGTGGAACATTTTAAACAACCGACCAACACAATCTCAACATATAGGAAGAGGAGGATTGGGCAAATCTACTCTGGTCAATACGCTACTTGCATCGCATCTACTGGATTCAAAGGCTTCCAAGAAGGCTTCCGACCCGCCACGAAAGACTACTGAAATCCAAAACATCAGTCATGGTACATTCGGATTGAGCGTTCAATACCTCTATGCCTAGTTGCTAATCCTTCATACGTATGCATAGTACTCGAAGAGAATGGTGTCAAACTCAAAGTGACCATCACTGATACTCCTGGATATGGCGACCAAGTGAATAACGAGAACTGGTACAATCACCATCGATATATCTTTACCGCTCGTTATTGTAATTTTTATACTAATTGCAATCGTCACTAGTTGGGAACCCATTGTAAAGTTCATCAAGGATCAATACGCCACGTATCTACGACGAGAACTGACTCCCAACCGTGAAAAACGAATCCCCGACACCCGTGTCCATGTCGTCCTCTTCTTTATTGAGCCAACTGGTCTAGGGTATGACCTTGATTAGCCATTAGAGCACATCTTACCTGTTTATAAACTCCAAATCCCTTCTCGCCAGGTTGAAGGCTTTAGACGTGACCGTCCTACAAAAGCTATCTGAAATCGCAAACGTCGTACCAGTCATTGCCAAATCAGATTCACTGACACTCGAAGAACGATCTGCATTCAAGAAACGTATTCGTCAAGAGATTGAATTCCATGGTATTCGTTGTTATCCACTCCCTGATGCCGATGACGAGCCTGTCTTGACGGATCAGGACAAGGCAGAAAGGGCACAGGCACAGCAGATGAGAGACATGATTCCCTTTTCTGTTGTTGGGTCGGAGAGAAATATCGTGGTAGATGGTAAAGCTGTGCGAGGAAGGAGAACCAAATGGGGAATGATCAATGGTTAGTCTCTTCGCAGTCTACGAATTACACTTTGATCGCTGTTGGACTGTTACAACGATTTCTGACCAAACAATTCGTCTGACGTCTAGTTGAAGACCAAAGTCACTGTGAATTCGTACCATTGAGAGCATTCTTACTACGAACACACTTGCAAGATTTGATTGAGACCACAGGGCTGTTACACTACGAAGCATTCCGTACTAGACAACTATTGGCCTTGAAGGAATCAAGCGCTCCATCCAAGGTCCCTGGAGATGTATCTCGTGATCCTAGTGTCCGCAACATGTAGAGCGCCAAAACTGAAAGAGGATGATAGTTATGTGCTTCTCTATATTTTAGAAATGAAGTGGTTGGGGAGGCCGGTTCTCCCACAGAAAAGTGTAATAATGCAATGCAATTTTATAAACAAGAGGGGGTGTTTCCAACACAATTACTATTCCTCACGAGCAGGTGTTTGAGTCAACAAGACCTTGAATCTTCGTTTCAACGTCACTCTGTGTTTTGAGTACTTGTCGTCAGGAGAGAAGCGAGCTGTTTGAAGAAACAAAGGGCTAGTTAGGACACAAGTCAAATCAACAGCTGTAACAGATGTTTCGACGATATTATCAAGTCATCGACACGATTTCTTCAGGTGACTCGCGAAAGCGTCGATTTTTTCTTCTTTTGATGTTTGCCGAATTAGAGTGACCATCAGCATCCAACAGTCAAGATGGAGGTTAATTGGCGGCAGTAAGCGTCATCACATAGTCTCCATTCACGGTTTTGCTTACCTGGATGAGCACTCTTTGTGATGCTGCCATCTGTGGTCAGTTTCTGCAACAACAAAAAAAAGTTAGCTTTGGAAGCTTTAACAAGACAGTACAAGTTTTGCAAGAGAATAGAGAGACTTACTTTGAGAGTATAGAGACGCTTGCCTCGCTCGTCTAGAGAGTACATCAAGTGCATTATTGCTTTAGGTAATAATAGTGGTGACTGTTGGTTTGGACAAGCAACATTGAAAGTTAGAAGAGATGGAGCAATTGAATATCAATGGCTGGAGCAACTTTCCTGAGGTACGTGTATACTCAGCATCGATGAACCTGTGGGCTTTGGCAGCGGTCTGTTATTTCTGACGTGTTTTCGGCCGTGACATTTTGCTGAACATTTCGCCTTCATACTCGATCCGTGTCATTATCTGCAATACAACACTCTAAACACCGTACTAATTTAACGATTCTGCTTGTGGCAGGCAATAATCTTTGATTTGGACTTTACTCTATGGCCTCTATATATGGACTCATACACCTCTGGCCCACCCTTCAAAAGAATCGACAACTTTTCGATTCAGGACTGGTCTGGCGAGAAAGTATCGCTATATCCCGACGTACATGATATCATACATGCCATTCGAGAACACAGGACTGATACCAAGATTGGCATCGCAAGCCGATCACGTATGTACAATTCAGCGTACTTTACCTAACCGCATGTGTACTAACTCGATCAGGTTAGATACTGGCGACTGGTGTCGCGCCGCTATCCAGTTACTACCCATCCGAAAACCACACCTCCCTGAAACCTCTGAAGACCATCTTCCTCTCCATTCATATATCGATGCACACGAGATCTACCCAGGCAGCAAGACAACCCACTTCAGAGCCCTATCAGAGAAACTCGAGGTAGACTTATCATCAATGCTATTCTTTGACGACGAGCAAAGGAATATCACTGAGATCGGCAAGATGGGAGTTACCTGTATACTGGTCAAGAACGGCCTGTGTATCAAGGATTTTCATCGGGGGCTGGCTGAATATCAGGCAAAAAAGGCGGCTTCGGGTGTTATGAGGAATTGGTTGGCGGCTGGAGGAGGTGGTAGCAGCAGCAACAAACGTGATAAACGAGCTCGAGAGCGTAAGGGTGAAGCTTATGATGAAGAGGATGGGGCAAGTGGTGGCGTGGTGAGGAAAGTTGCTACATCATCTGAAGGGGTTGACTTGGATTAGAGTGCTATGTATCTGCTGCCAAAATTGTCTGTTGGGTGGTGTACGATCTTAGCAAGGCCTCTGTAACAAACCGTAAATAGAAAATAGAAATCACGTCTCGTATCTCGTAAAAGCATAAAATATATATCTAGCTGTTTTACCCCATTCCACAACTCTCGTCCATTCGCTAACAAAACGCCTTCAGCATCTCTTCAAAACATCACAACATGACGACAATCCCAAAACCAACAAAGTTCCCATCGCTAACAAGCCGAGACGTGACGTCCTTATTTCTAACCAAGCGGAATCGCCGAGATGAACTCGAAGAACTACAAGCAGCAGAGGATGCGCATGCAGCAGAAGTATATTCAAATGTGTGTTTTTGAAATATCATCACGAAAAAGCTAATTCGGCTACCGTGTTATTAATAGCTACAATCTGCTATGAATCCGAATCCAGGCAGCAAACCTGTTGCTCCGGGACTGGCTCGTGAAGCTCCTCCAGTGCAGGTTAACATCATAGCTCCATTCTTGTTTAAATGTGTTGCTAACGAACCTCCCGTTAGCCTGAAGCTGGAGATGAGACTGAGCAATCTGAAGCTGATGTTGACGATGATGGTGACGATGACATGTAGTTTCGTATTCAACCCACTAACGACAACACACAACACATACATTCAATCAAGATCCAAACCACCATATGTCAATTTTAATATCTTATCACATCATATGTATTCATACTTTAGAAAAAAGGCGTGCAAAAATATAGGGAACTATAAACTGAGAAAAACACTACGGAATTATGTTTGGAAGAAATGGGGGGTTTATTGCCATTCTTCACCTCCATCAGCTTGATCATCATGACCGTGCATTTCCTCTTCATTATCATCAACTTCTATGTCTTCTTCGCTCGGCTGTGGTGGTTGTGGTTGTTGCTCACCCATTTGAGCGTAATACAACAACATGGCAGCAACCACTTGTTGAGGATCTGCAGTGGTTTGATATGTACCATCAGGGGCATAATAACCATGCTCTTGCTGACCTTCTCCAACTGCAGTGGGGGGAGGAGCCATGGTTGATGATGATGGGTCGGCACCATTTGAATGAGTCCCGTTGCCATCAGGTCTACGCTTCTTATGGCTAGCCTGTGGTGGTTCGACCTAACAATGATTTTGGAAATGGGTACTCAGTTTAACTTGCCTGTGACTTTCTGTGCAAAAAAGTTGTACGCAAATCCTTAATGCTTACTTTTGGTTCGCTGGACTGTTTGCGTTTTCGTTCTCGATACTCGGGTCGAGCATAATCATTCTTGGCCTGAATTGATGTAAAAGTGAGACGAGCAAAAAACAGGGTACCATAACCGTAGAAAATGGCAAATCAAACTTTACCTCATCACCAGGGTGATTTCGTTTCATCATATTTTGTCTCTTGGAGTCACCTGGCATACTTCCAGAAGCAGCTGCTGCAACCATAGCTGATACAGTAGCACTGGCCGAGTTCTATATTTAATGAAAGACAAAAAAATCAAAGATTTGATCTTGACGAATAAATACCCTCAAGATATATACCTTAGCAAGGTCAGCAGCAGTAGCCATAGGCACATTAATCTTCAGTTTGATCTTCTTGGGTGCTCCAGAATCATGTTTCGTTTTCAATTCTAAAAAACACGCGAATCAGGTTAGATACCTGCGCAATAAGACAGACAAAAAAAGAAGACCTCAAGTCAGACAAGATACGCACTTTTCAAAGGCTGATGAGGATTACATATCGGGCACATAAACTTATCCATCTGATCAGCCTGCTCAGTAGACAATCCAACACAATCAAGATGAAACCAGTCATGGCATCCATCACATTGCACCATAGGCCTTTCCTCATCGTAATGCGATTTGCACATACAATATGTAGCATTTGGATCCTCCTTATCATCATCAGAATCAGCTTGTAAAGAAGTCTCTACCACCTTTTTACGTAGCTCATGAGCTTCTGCGTCAACTGCTATAGGCATACCCTGAGCAGCTCGTAGATATTGTTTGGCTCGTATCTTATCGCCAGGTACCATTGGTCGAGATATAAAATCCTGCACTAGGGCTTTCCAATTCGTGACCATGGCTAATATAATATCCAACAAATCCTTTTCTTCAGGTGGGAACCGGAAGGCACCGGCTTCTTCTGAGGCTGCACGGAATGATTCCAATGTCGGTCGTGTACCAAAGGGGAAGGGAGCAGTCACATCACATACAGTACAAGTATAATCTTCAGATGTCTCGGCAACCTTTTTGGGCACCTTGACACATGATATATGATACCATTCCTTGCATACATCACATTCAATCATTATGCCCTTTTCTGGTAGTCGACATATACAGAAAATGGGTGTATGATTATCATCGTGAGTACCGACATTATTACAGCAAGCCTTTATACTCTCTCGTATTTCGGTAAGATATGCCTCCAATGTTTGTGGTGGTGCAGGTGGTACATCTGGTCCGGCAGGCCTTCCCATAGTCTGAGCAGTCGTTTCCACCCATTCCTCTGTTTTACGAACTTCTTGTTGTAATACAGGGTACGAGTCAAGACGAATATTAAAGTCTTCATACTCTTTCAGCAGCTTGCGAATATCACCTATATTGGCTTGTGGTTGAGCATCACCACCTTCTGGCTGCTGACCTTCACCACCATATGTTTGGAGCCAAATGCTAAAGTCATCAGCTCGTTGAAGTTGATATTGTAAATGTCGTAGCAATTCAGGCACCACTGGGCTAGTTTTACCGCGTTCGACCAACTCGTGTACTTCATCATAGCCCATAGATTTGGCCTTGAGAAGATTGGTAGCATCAACCTTCCACTGCAAACCAACTTCTTTAAGATCCCTTAATTCCACCATTACAGGAGTCTCCAACTTGACACCATACTCAACTCCTTCATCCATAAGAGTGACGACCCTTTCAATATCATTCAAAGCATCGGGACTCTTGATCAGGATATCAGCATTTATAATCCAATCACCTTGTCGAGTCTTATTTTGAAGATCAAACAACTCCTCAACTTCAATATCCATTGTTCTACCTTGATCAATCATCTGTTTATAGTCCTTTTGTGGCAAATCTTCCGCGAGTAAAACTCGAGCCTTGTCACGATATGCGACTGCTTCTTCTTCTAATGCTTTCAATCCAGCAACTTCTGGAGCTGCATCGAAGCCAAGGGATTCATACTCTTTGAGTAGTTTTTGGATGTTGACAAGACTTCGTACTTCCATGACCATATTCTCTTCGTTATTGGGATCATTATGATTATTATTACGTTTGTCACGTCGAGACCTGTTGGTGGACGAGGAGACACTGACTGCCGAGACACCCTCTTCATCCATATTCGTAAAGAGAGCTCGACGTTCAGCAAGAGTCTTACGGAGGGGTCGTTTCTTTTTATGCAATATACTATTGGCTCGTTCTTGCCATTCGTAAGCAGTCTCGATAAAATCTCGCAGAGCCTTCAAATCTTCCTGAATATTTGGGATTCGTTGTCCTTCAGCTAACAGTTGTTGGAGAGTTTTCAACGATGGTCGACGTTCAATCATCATAAGGTGTTGATACTTCAACTTCCATTGATTCGGCTTGTAGGCTTCACGACAGACATTATCGACCAAGCCTCGTAATTCATCATCGGTATATTTCATTCGCATGATGAGAGACGGTCTACCACAGCGACATACAACCTGGACAAAGCATAAACTGTCAGCAAAAACCGCAGAAGACGGGAGAGAATGGTCTCTGCGAATAAGTACTTACGTGATCCACATGGAAAGGACAAACCACACGTTCAGGAGAGCATTCACATTTGACGGCAGTGACGGTACAATACTGATTACAATATGAACATTGACCTTGCTCTTCGTTGGTGTATTCGGCTTTATCAACGACCTGTTTGAGTTTCCCTGGCCGAGTACGAACATCGTTTCGAATCCGAATTTCACGATCTCGTAAGCGTTCTAGCTCCGGTTTCAGCCATAGTGCTGTTTGTTCATCGTTATTCTTGCAAGCAGTGGTAATCAATAATTCTTCGTGGTTGAAGACAGGCATCTTTCGGAAGTCTCGATATCGTTCAATGGACTGCGTGCCATATGATAGCCAGTCCGCTGTAGCAAAGTTGACTGCTTCACAAAAGTTGAACTATGATTGAGCAAGTTGGATTAGCGAACTGAAAGCTACTGGTCTGGAATTATAAATTATACTCGGCTTATTTTGCCAGATCAAACGCGATGGAACTTACTCCGTGATTGAATCCTCCGTGATAAGCCCGAGGAAAGGTAACGATGAATTCTCCAGCTCGTTGATCTATAGCATGACAGGGTACCCTGTTCCGAAGCAGTGTGGCAGGAGACAACATGGTGGTGATATGGAAGAGGAGGTCCGGGTTCATTTCAAAAAGTTCTGGAACAGTCTTTTTCAAGACTTCCTCAAACCTGTCTGCATGAGTGGCAGGGACACCATACCAAGTCTTTGCTTCACCAAAGTGATTGTAATTGATTGAATAGGTGTTGTGGTCTTCGGCATGCCAGCAGAATGTTGAAAAGACCATTCCAACATAGAGCCATGGAACCATTACACCTGGAACATCACTATTTATATTACGGAACAAGGATTCGGGAAGAAGTGGGAGGTTGTTTAGATTCCAACCACAACTCGCATAGGGGTTGAAGGGTTGTTTTTCAATGACAGGGAAGCCACTAATCGTAAATCAAAATTCAGCAAATCAAAAGGTCGAGGAACGCGAAATGGACAAGATTAAAGACAAACAAAAGGCGAAAAAAAGGACATTATCTCACCTTCCATGATGAGATGAATGCAGGTCAGCTCCATATTCAACTTCGATTTCTTCATAAGGCGATTCGACAAGCCGCCAGAATTCCATTTCGACACCATCTTCATCAACCAAGACCTGGCCAGCATGATTTCGTTTACCAATAAACCAATTATCCTTAAACTCATTGGCGATCTTTTGGAATTCAGCAAGACTACGTTCTTCACCATCCTCGAATCCGTAATCGTCTCCTTGTTTCTGTAGACAGTTGACACAATACCATTCACCTTTTGGGATGGCAGGTAGTGGCGGAGTCAGGCAATAGAAGTGGAAACCGTTATTGCATACATCGCATAATAGGATTTGGTCCTCATTCTCACTACGTAGACATATTTCACAGAACTCTCCTGGTTTGAGATAGCTCTGTGATGGTAGAGCACCTAGTTTTGTTCGAGTGGCATGACGATGTTTTGATCCATCATTCTTGTCCAATTCAAGTAATGGTTTTGGTACATTGGGTTCTTCCTTTATGGTGGTGGGACCTGTTACTATGGCTTCATCGCCAAACTTGCCATTTTCGACCAAGTAGTTTTCGTAGGGCAAGACCCATTTGACATAGGCTGTTTTAATACTATGGGACATAGAAGTACATGTCTTGCCCTGAATACCGATGGCACGAGCTACTTCTGCCCATTTTTTCTGATCTGTAACCTGAAATTAAACGAGGTTGGTTAGTAATTTGTATTGGCGATCGTGGTTTATATGCTTGTGTCCCAATCGGCGAGAATTCTTACTCCTTCATGACCTCCTCGACGGGCGACTTCCTTCTTCAATTTGAATAAGTCTATAGGTTTACGGTCCAAAGTCGGGAGTTTTGTAAGGGGAGTTCCGTTTTGCTGATGATATTGTTGCAGTTGATCGAGATAGTTCAGAGTAGTTCGAGATCCTCCCTCTACAAAGTTGAGCTTTTGTAATCGAGGTCGGAAGAAAAAGTTCTATAAATGGGCGAATCACGTTAGTTGATACTATAAGGCCAGTAAAACGTGGGGTGGGTTTGTTGGGAGAACAATTGGGTGTCGACGAAAACACTAGTCAAGGCTTTGCTACGGGAGTCGACATATGTGCTCCGACGATGTCTACAAGTCGAGTCCAGCATGATGACCTGTTGAAACCCCCTTGAATAGTCTGGTTCTTTGATTCGACCTCTCTCTCAGACAAAACTCCAATATGAAAGAGGACCTGTTTTCGTCGCAGTACTATACCTACCTCAGTATCTATGGAAAAGTCGGGCTTCCAGGAAGCAGGAGGGACTATTTTGCATAATCCGGCGTCTTCGGCGAGTGGTCGTATTGACTGAATGTACAAGAGGGGATTTTGAAATTGTTCAGGAGTAGGATGAAATACAGGAGCTTCAGGTAAGCCAAATGGTCTCGGGCCTTGAGAGAAGATATGAATCAGTACATTGTAATGAGTTGAATACAAATACTACCTACCTGGAGGTCTAGGCTCTGCAGGATTAGGCAGGAAAGGTGGATCAAGTGTAGTGAAATCTAGGCCACTACTAGCCTCTCGTTTTGATTTGCGAGCTCTGGTTCCTCTCATCGAGGGGTCTGCGGTGACCATCTCTCTACTGGCGAACCTCTCTCTGCTCTGTTTTATTTGTTTTTGATGCTGTGTCGGTTTATGATGCTGTGTTTTGATGTTTCGATGATGACTCTGATGACAAAAAAACGAAGACCACCAATGCGACGTGAAAGACTCTTGAACTAGCCAAGGGACGTGCCGAAAAGAAGAGAAATCACACACTTTAATGTTTGCGCTATCAAAAAACCGTCACGTTCATGGTTTGTACTCACCAACAACTGTACAAGGAAGTTGTCGCGATGGCCCAGCAAAAACGGGATGCGTAGAAGTTTGATGCGATTAAATTACGTCTATTTTATGAGGAAGCCACTATAGCTTAACTTTTGCCCAATGCCACAATGCCACTGATGGCTAAAATGCAAACATCAACTACTTCATCACGTCGATGGGACGGCCAGCGCCCTCCTTCTAGCCTTCGAATGTGGTCTCAATTCGACTTCTTGCTCCCACCACGTCTTCCAATTGTCTCGATACCAAGTAACTGCGACAAAAAGTGTAGGGTAAGATGAGGGAATATTACCTCCAACCAGTTCAAAACGACCTTACTTGTCTCAGCAATCCCAGTATCAAAGTCAACACATTGCTTCCATCCCAACGCTTCAAGTCTACTCGAATCAATAGCATATCGTTGATCATTGAATGCTCGATCAGCTACGTGCTCAATTATTTCAGATGCACGGTCTTGTAACCCGAATTTGCGTAATAGGATACGAGCAAGATTCAAATTCGTCAATTCTGAATCTGAGCCTGCTCCAATGTTATAGGTGGCACCGGAAACGCCCTTGTGCATGATGGTGTCAATCGCATCAACAACGTCCGTAATGTAGATGTAGTGTCGTGAGTTTGATCCGTCTCCATGTAAGTACCTGTAGAAAACAGGAACACGAAGCGTGAGTGTATGAGTTCGATTGGACCAACGAAAGTCCAAAGATTGGTAGTACTATCCAGTAAACGTACAGGTTCTTGTCAGAGAGTAACGAGCAAATAAACTTCGGAATGACCTTTTCTGGATACTGAAACGGTCCATATACGTTATTACTTCGTGTGATGATGGCTGGTAGTTTGAATGACTTCTGGTATGCCTTAACCAGCGATTCTGCAGCGGCTTTGGTAGCAGAATACGGATTCGATGGTGCCAATATCGTCTCTTCTTCACGATCTGGCTATATAAACAGGGAATAATGGATCAGCTATGACAAGCAAAAACGACAAGATCAATATCGACTAATACCATATTAGCTTGAGTTTCACCATACACCTCATCAGTACTAACATGTATGAACTTCTTGACTTGGAATTCACGAGCAGCTTCCAATAGCACATGCGTTCCCATCACATTGTTATGAGTAAACTCGAGTGAATCACCAAACGAGTTATCGACATGTGTTGAAGCAGCAAAGTGAAGTATCGTATCCACATTCCGTTCTTGAACAACATAGTTTACTAGATCGACTGATGTGATATCGCCCTATTCGAGAATACAATTGTCACGTTAGTGTTGGCTCTTACATGGTCAACAATGTTTCAAACCACACAAAATTTTGGATCCGATGATGTCTCAAACATACCCGAACAAAGGTATAATTGGGTTTATCAGATACGGCCTGCAAGTTATGGAGTGATGAGACATAGTCCAGCTTGTCAAAGTTGATGATGTTGTAGTCCGGGTAGGTGGCAATAAGATAGTTGATTACATGTGAGGCTCTTTTTGTGGGAAGATAGAGGTTAGTGATCCAACGAAGGACGATAGTTCGACAATGATCTTACATGAAGCCTGCGCCGCCAGTCACGAGAACGTTACGAATGGCGGGGTCTGGCGGATACTTGCATCTGTTGCTCATCGTTGGTTGTGAACGTTGGTTGTGAACGCAACACGAAGAACAAGTAGAATTTCTGTTCTAAATCGCATGGCAAATAAGCTTTCAACCAATTTGAGTAAATTATAAACTAGTTACAGTGCAAAATAATAAATACATCACGTGAAGAAATTATTGTCTATATGTTTGTCGTTTGATGATCGTGGTGGTTGCGATAATGCTAAAAGATCTAAAATGCAATTGGTGCAGCTCATACTGAAGGGTTGGGTTGTCTTGCGGCATCAGGTTGCTTCGTCGACGACGAAGCCCTAGAAGTATTCCCCATATCTGAGGAATCCGTTACAGTCGATAATTGTGGTCCAAATAGAGCTGGATTTTGGATGTGTAGATGTGGTTCAGAGTTGCTATTGTGACTGTGACTGGTACTGCTAGTATTGGAGCTACTGTTGCTCAAGGCATGCAAGAATGGAAGGGTCGTTCCGCGTGGTTTTCCAGATGAACCACGTCGTTCTCTATTCATTTTAATGGATTCATGAGACGCAGAGTGTGGTATAGTGGCAGTCGATATGTCTCCATGGCTGCTTGCAGTTGCTTGTACTGACGGACCACCTATAGGCTCTCTAGAACTATTCCTCGTCCTTGGAATAAAGTGCAGCGATTTCCTCAACGACTCTCCCAATGTGAGTCGATCATGATGAGGTGGCGGCGGGCCTCTCCTTCTCATACTAGTAACCGAGACACGTGGCGAGACGACACCCTCCATCCCACTTTCGTGAGAAAAGGAGAATCCAGTGTTGGGTGTTCTCCCTGCTCCTTCATCCTCCATATATACTATAGTACCTATTGATCGTTGTGGTGTATGTAATACGGGATGATTCGAGCTCACAGCTCGTAAGCGTCGTGGTACAGATCGTACAAACTCTCCCACTAATCGAGCTGGCAGTGAAGCTAGTTGGAAGGAAGTTCTACGATTGGTTGAGCTGGCGCGGTCTCCTTTACCACGACCACGATTATCGTCAGAGTTATTATTGGTATTATTAACGGGGTCAGTTGCTATTCTGAGATGAGGAAGATGGTGTGGTGGGTGATGTGGATGTTTAGGCGATGGTGGCGTTGATGGCTTTTGCTCCTTTCCTTCCGACGATCTACCCGATGTTGATTGCGTTGCTGGGTGATCGGGTACAGCCTTCATGGGTATGCTATCTTCGCTTATGACTATAGCTGGTATGGTCTCTGAACTAGGCACTGCTTCGTGCTGATGTGTATCATGACTATGTGGTCCAAATAGTCCAAATAATGGTGCTCGTACATTCCACTTGGCATATTGCGGCGGGTCATCATTCGGTCCTGGTTTTGGATCACCGTTAATAGCAGCTTCACCAGCCTTGGCAGCTACCTTTTCTTCAGAAGACAAGTTGTACTTTTGCATCTCGCGTACTATATCGGTATCAGTTGGCCAAAACATGGCTCGAGCTGCAGCTGCAATGAATCGTGGCAGAGATGCCGTCACTATTACTAATATCATGACAAAGTAATAGGCTGCCTGTTTATAGAGAACCGGTATTTCACCATATGTGGGATTGGCCATACTTGCTGCATACGTGAGGACATAGATAATCCATACGGCTACTGTAGCAATTATGGCAAACACTGCTAGCCAGTTCCATGAATAAGTTCCCATAGCAATATATACGTTGACTGTTAGAATAGCAGTCCATGCAATGACTGTACCCATGGCATCTTTGTTCCAAGTCAGACCATTTGGGTCAGTGTCGGTTGCGTATGCAAGCGTCACACCAAAGTAGATAACGACGGATTGATATATACCATCAGCAATATAAATCCATACTTGTTCGTTGGTGAAGAGGTCATTTCGAATACCCTTTTGATAGATTTCAGGTAGTTTGATTGAGGTTTCATCATTGAGATCTTGGTCGAATGTGCCAATAAAAATGTTAGGTAGCAGAGTGAAGAAGGTATTAAAGAATTGTCCATATGTAAAGTCAGGAATTACATCCGCTGCGAATCTGAAAAGACGTAAAAAAGATTTAATGGGAATCGAAGGATGATAGTCGACTGTTCGCCTTCACTCACCCTGACTGGAATTGATACCAAAACAAGATGAACAGCCACAGTACGTTCTTATAAAAGTAGTTGAAGATCAGACCAGCCGTTCTCACATATGCCCATTTCCCATGGACCAATAGCAATCTTGCCAAAAACCGGAATTGCGGTATAGCATAATCAGCAGCCATGACAGCTTGTAGACCTTCTTTGCCAGAAATTCCAACACCGACTTCTGCTTCTTGGATCATAGAGACATCATTGGCTCCATCACCAATAGCCAAGGTGAGTGCATTCTGCGAAGAATCAAACAATTGAGTATTGCAAAGGCAATAGAAACCGTAGGACAAAGAATACACAGGAACTCACCAAGCCTTTGCGAACAAGCTCAACAACTCGTGCCTTCTGCAATGGACTAACACGAGCACAGACTACAGCTTTACATCGACAACCCAATTCCAAAAGAAGTTCTCGACTGCTTCCTTCCAGAGCAAACTTGAGTGACTCGCCATCAATAATCAAAGCATGAGTATCACCCTCAATAGCCTTTCCATTCTCATCCCAAAACCGATTCAGAGCAGACTTGAGTTGATCAGCAGTACCATTTGGCGTAGTAGCTCGCACCACAATCAGCACCATGGTTCGAGTCAGTAGATTACAAGCAAATCCAATATTGATGGCAGTTTCAACTTTATCACCAGTCAAAACCCATATCTTTATACCAGCTTGAGCTAGAGTTGCTATACATTCAGGTACACCATCTTGCAGTTTATCTTCAATGGCGGTTGCTCCAAGCAGTATCAGTTCACGTTCTATAGTCTCAGCGGCAGCAGCCACAGCTTTATCTCGATTCACTATCTGATTTTGAGCAGCACTATATGTATCAGCCCATGCGAAATACTGCTCTTCGGGTATAATGCGCCATGCGAGACACAGTGTCCGTAAGCCGTCATTAGCAAACGATTCTAAATCTGACGAAGTCTTTTCGGAGAGTGCTTGGTCGGTGCCAGTCACCAGTCGTTCGTAGATGACCGAGTCGGCACCTTTACATAACAACACTATATGTCCCTCCGAATCTCGAAGGACTACGCTCATACGTTTCCGATCTGAATCGAATTCCAGTACATTCAGTACAGAATACGTTCTTTCTTCACCATAGACTTCTATGCTAATGGAATTCTGTGCTCGTCGTTTAAAAGCAACACCAACATCTCTGGCAGCAGCTACCAGCGCTGCTTCATCAGGCGACTGGGCCTTATATATAAGCTTCTCAGGCGAGTCTCGTGGGATATCAACTAGCACCGTATGACAGCATGCCAGGAGAATAAAGAATTCTCTAATCGCTCTAGCCTGTTCTCCTTCTTCTAATAGGTCCTTGACTAGACTCATATCAACAAAGGATAATCGGCCATTATCCACATAATGGCCCTTCAAGTCCTTTTTCAGAGTCGATCTCATCTGCTGTTCTTGCTGAGCCAGTTTGGCTAATATAGCAGGCTTATCAAAGTCGGTGAGACCTTCACGTTGCATGGCACCCATTTTGGCTTCTGTTATGTAACCATCACCATAAACTATTCCATTTATAGAGCACATCCGGAATTCCATCACGTTGGCTGTGAGAGTACCGGTCTTGTCGGAGAAGATATACTCGATTTGACCCAGATCGTCACAGAGATTATATGTTTGAGGTACCACATGTTTGTCAGATTCTCGATCATACATGTCATCATCCCAATATATGAATACAGACTATGAAATGGAACAGGAAGTAGGAAGTGTAAGAAACGATGACTTATTTGACGACAAAAAACAACTGCGAAATCCTTATTATTGCTTTACCTGAATTGTCTTAGCCACCTCAACCGATATATATAGTGCGATCGGTATAATGTTTTGATAGATAATCATGGCAACGAAAAAATCCAAGATTGATTGGGTAAGTGTGGAATTCGGATCTCCTAAATTCCACAGTGCTCCTTCATTCCGATAAGCAGCCAAGTAGAAGGCTGCCGCACAAGCATTAATCAGACACAGAGCCACCAAAATAACAAAATTTAGTACAATCAATGGGTTCAGACTTCTTTGTATCTTGGATCGTTTAGATGGTGTTTCTCCTGAATTCAACATGACTTTCGTATCAACTCCTGTATAAATCACAATACCAATAACCCATCCAGTATTCCTCAATATACATCCACGTAGCAGGATGCCTACAGGGCTGATGGGCACCAGCTTGCCCACACCTCGTTCCATTTCTTCAGGCGAGGGCCGTAAACCATCTGGTTTTGGGTTGAGGATTGCGACACCACTATATGTATACAGGTTGGCTGATGGTAATTCAGAATCTATAATGATATTGACTTTGGCACATTGGGCTGGTGTTTTAACAGATGCGAGTTGGGTAATGCCTCTACGAATTTTGAGATTGGTTTCACCATCCAAGTTCTTCGTTTCGACATAACATACGTTATCTGGCTCGGATGTAGATACGACGACGATATCAGCGGGAATAGGATCATTCTCACGAATGAAGACCCAATCGCCTACTTTAACAGCATCCCACAAGTTGAGCTTCCATATAGGATCAGTCACATCCAAGATTGGTGACCTCTCAGATTGTTGGGTAGCTGAATTTGTATGAGTTACATGTGAATTTACATCCGACTCTTCACCGTCTAGATGCACCTCGTCTGGAGGTGCCACGTCACCAGCACATTTCGGATAGTCGGAAAAGCCTATATGTAGAGGGAAATCTCGTGATATGGCATCTGCTGGAGATTTTTTATTCCATTGTATCAGTTTTCCTAGTATCCGGGCCAGGGCGCCAAACATGAGGTCGATTCTATTGGAAATGTAGCTAAAGATCATGATAAATTGAAATGGTACAGTTTCAGGTGATGGGTTTGTGTTTCGCCAGTTGGCAAGGAGATACGTTCTAGTATTGTTTGCTCTAGTATCAGCTTCATGACGTTTATAATCTTCAAAAGCGTCCTGAGATAATGGAATTGTGTGAGTTGACATGTGCCCATGATAAAACAACTCTAGACCAAAAATTGATCCCGACCTTGAGTGCCGTCACACCCAAAATAAACAAAATCGGAGCAGCAGTGAGTCCAAAATCGACATTTTTGAAGGGATCAAATAGCTGAAGAATGACAAGTGATATAAAGTAAAAGTTTGCGACAGATCGGAGCTGCTCCAGAGCATTTTTCGGTATAAACGTCAATAAAGTATATTTTGAGGTTCGGATCTAGAACAAAAAATGTCATCGTCTAGCTCTAATCATGGATTACGTTCAAAACTTTTTTCATGTTCAAACCTGGTTTCCCACGTGGAATGTTTGCGAATATGGTGGTCGAGAGGGCACATTCATATAAACCCTTCGCTTTGTGTCTGGTCCCGACTGATCTTCATATGCCACTGCTGGCGATACCTTGGGACTCACTGCCATCTCATTAGCATTTCGTGAAGCTTGTCGTGAATGTCCTCCTTTTGGGACAACTGAGCCCGAGATCTCACTGATTCTCCTCAACATGCTTTCTATAATATTATTTCCTATCGATCATCACTAAAATATTGGGAAAAGATTTCAGTCTCCAAGGTTTGTCGGGGTTTCGTTAAAATACGTACGAAGCAAATGAGGAGACAGATCCGTTAACGGTCGACCGTGGAAAGCTCACGGATATATGATCTGAAACTTCCGCCGACGTTTTGAACAGTCCTCCAGTTGCAGTTTGGTCGTCAAGAAGTTTGGGGCAAAAAACTAAAGACGTGGATAGCAATTGCTCAGCCAAGTTAGAAATCTTGGATAAACCCTAGTAGATGCGATGCGATTTTATGGTAGAAACGTGACAATTATTATGTTTACTTACAATCATGCTATTGCGAGGATCTATGCTATACAATTCCTATTTACTGCTTCTTCTCGTGCCAGTGCGTAACAATCGCAGTAGCAGTTCCATCTGGATTCAGACGGAATGGTTTACCTCGCCATTCCACTATATATCCTGCCATAGCAATACACCATATAGGTAATGCCATAACTTCCCGGACAATCCAGGCCAGAAAGTACACGTCGGCACTTTTAGCCAAACTGTCATCAATGGTAAAAGCAATCACTGTATCCGACGCAATCCAGCCTATAAAATGCATCACCAGAAACATTATACACTGTGATCTAGTCCATCCCAAAAAGTACGACCAACCCCAGACACCAAGAAGACCACACACTATCGATTCGGTAAATGGCTCGATTAAGGTAGCAACCGTCACTACATATTTACGTATACGAATCCATCGTGATCGTCGACGAAAGTATTCTACAAGGCTCAAGGCACCCAGCGGTTGCATGGCAAAATCAGCTGTAGTAGCGTGCCGTAATCCCAATTGCCATATCTTTTCACCCATAATATTATCTTCACTCAAGTATCGAGCGAAATGAGCTAGACCGCCAGCAGCTGCTCGTTCAAGATCTGTTTTACGAAACATATTACTCTTGCCATTGATACATGACGAGATGGATGCATAATTGATGCTGAGATACATTTTACAGTGTGCGGTATTTAGAAACATCATTTCTACACGAGATCCAAAAGACTGTGGCCTTGTTGCTACTGGTGCGTGGTGTACCAATCCAATGTTTGGTAGATGGAGAGCATCGACAGATCTACCCATGCAATCCGGCGCGACTAGTACGTTCGAGTCCACGATCCATATAATATTATATTTGGCGGCATGATAGCCTGGTAGCAAGTTGCAAACCTTTGGATTTGGTCCAATTTCTGCTTCATCTGGTAATGAAAAGGAGCGCACGTCTTTGAGATGATGCACACCAACATTGAAATGCATTACGACAACTAACCTGGATTGCCAGTAACAATACGAGCATCAACATTGGGATGAGCTTTCATAACCATTCGAGCGACTTCAACAGCTTTATCCTTGGGATCAGCTACAGTCATGATGACCTCAAACTTTGGATATTCCTGTTTGAACGCAGAGGCTAGATTCTCTTCTAGCAAATTATCGACGCCCTTCATAGGTCGAAGAATCGTGACGCTAGGAGTTGATGATTTTTGAGATGATGTGGGCGTTGGCGGATGAGAGTAGCGTATTCGCCTAATAATATAGTCAAGGGCCATATCAGTATGAGTTCAATGTACATTAAGTCAGTTGATTTCGTACACGAGAATAGCTCCCCATAGACAGAACTGTGTCATGACAATCCACATCACGACTGAGAATCCAGCCACTCCATTCTGCAGCGCAGTTGCAGCGTCCACCATCGTTTCCAATAGCTCTGTTTAGTGTTGACTACTCGATCTACACCATTATATTCCTAAAACGTTGCTGTATGAAATGAAAGTGTTGAGTTGACTTGACAGCAGCTCATCCGCTCCTACGGCGGATTACAAGGAAACAAGACGCGTTTTGACGGTTTTGACGCCGCGAGTTTACATCGACTCGACCACAGGACTCTCAGGCTCTATCGGTAACGTTCATCGGCTTCAACCTTTCAAACATTGAAACCAACCTACCCAACGATGCAAGTCCAGGTAGGAGTCTAACACACGTTCGATGGCTTACAGATGCTAATTGACATATATTCTCTAGTTTTATAGGGCTCTATGGGGTGTGAACGAGGATTTCGAAGTGCTCTTCCCTCGATTACAGATGCAAGGGTTTGCTGGAGTAGAAGTCTCGCTTTCTTCCATGGGATGGCCTGATAAATCCAAGACTGACCGTTTCAGTCAGCTTCGTCTCAAATATGGCCTGAAATTCCTTGCTGGTTTATACACTGTACGGTCGTGCATCGCAGATTGTGACATCCTAAAGTTCAAAGATCTGATACAGCTTGATCTAGGCTTGGGACAACTATATTGGAGATTGGGCTCCGAAAACTGTTGAAGAGCACTTGATGCAATTCAAACGAGAGCTGATTGCCGCCAAGGAGCTTGGAGCTTTTCATTGCAAGTAAGATTGAGTCTATTGACTATCATCGATTCGTTTGGAGATGATCAAGCTGCCAGGTTGATGCTTCTCATATCGTATCTCTAACCTGCTTCTGTGACAGTTCTCATTCTGGTGGGGACAATCTCTCGGATGACGAGGCAATCCAATTTTTCGAAGGTGCTCTTGCGATCGAAAAGGAGGTGGGCCTCACTGTATCTCACGAGACGCATCGTGGGCGAATACTCTACTCTCCGTGGTATGCGATTTGCCACCACTCGGTTTACAAAAGCTGGCTGATTCCTTTCAACTATTTTCACAGGCGTACATACATGCTACTGAAACGTCTACCTACGCTTCGGCTCACTTTGGATCTGTCACATTGGGTAGTTGTATCCGAACGATTTATATTGAATCCAACGAGTCCGCATTATCGGCAACTATTAGAATTGGTAGCATCACGAGTAGATCACATCCACGCCAGGATATCTACCACTCAATCTTCACAAATTGATGACCCAGAAGCTACAGATGGCTGGGATCCGATATGTCGAGAGGAGTTCGATGCAGTTTGGCAATTCATTTGGGACGTGCAGCGTAAAGCTGGCAAACGTGTCATAACAATGGACGTCGAGTATGGGCCGCCGGAAATCGATGATGGTGGATACCAACGAAATGTGATGTGGGTAGCAGAAACTGTGAATGGTCAACATGTTGTAAAGAAACGACCTGCCAAAGTTTTAAATGACCTCGTAGTGACTGAAAAGAGTCGTTTAGAACGCAAGTTCAGTGCATGGAAATCAGCACACAAGCTATAATAATGTTGTGTGGATCTTGCTGGTGTTTTAAGCAATGACTATAGACAAAAGGTGCATAATAATATTATGGTTTGGTTGTTTTTTACATAAAAGTAGCACGTGCCATTGCAATCTCATATTCACAGTGCTTCTTCAAGTTTGTTGATATAGTATCTACTTGCTCACTCACATCACGCGTTTCATATCTCTCAGCGACGGCTTTCATCAATTCCAGCGTTGGCTCACCCTAACGTCACAGGTGTGTGTCAGCATCAGATACATGACCATTTCTGGCAAGTTTCGACTTACATCTTTGAAAAAATCATGTTGAGCATCAGAAAGTTGAATGATAAAATCCCTTTCGGCCTTGATTTCCTTCACTTTAGAGATGAGATTGTCACGTCTACTTGGAGGAGCAATACCAATACGACGCACTGTGTCAACCATACGAGAGAGTCGCTTGTCACTGTCTTTACAGTACTGATCGAGACCAGCGTATTCTGACGTTGGAGCAGGTCGTTTGTTATGGTATATATCGTCCTGAATCTTGATAATAGTTGCACCATCTACTGGCATGTGTGGATGCTGCAGTCGTCCTTCTATATCCTTCCATATTCGAGAGCCTACAGGCGGTGTTTCGATGTGGATGACTGCATTCCTGCCAACTGTTATGTAGGGTGGCCTCGTCGATTGAAGGGGGCGGACTTTGTCTGTGGATAATAGAAATACAAGTCCATCGATTTTGACTACGAGCTGCTGTGTTCCTACAACAGCAAACAAGGTAAATGGTAAATCTGATGCTAGAGTGACTGGTGTTCCTAAAACACGTTTAAAGCGACTTAGTTCAAGTTGCAACTGCAAAACAAATATATATGAAGAGATTGCGAATTGCCTCTCGGCTTTACCGTGATGTGGCTTCTGAGCGTACCTGCAGCGATCAATTGTACTTGACAGGTTCCAACAACTAGCTCCTCAACTGGGTGTGCTTTCTGTTGAGTTTCAAGCTGAAGTTGAGTTCCATCTTCCGATATAGGCACGAGCTCCGTCCAAGGTAGGCTGCGAAAGAAATCTATGGTCATTGAGCTGCTTGCTTCGCTTGAGTTTTATTGTGAGTTTTTTTCTGGGAGAACGTGGCGGAACGGAAGGCACGACGTTAGATTCATATTTGAATTTATAAGGATCTATCATTGGCACTGATTTTGTCTCCACAGACGCCTTGTGTGTTTGCAAGAACTTGCAGTATTGGACATTTTATTTTATATTCTGAAGCTTGGACACCTCACAACGTACGAACTGACGCAACTTGCACCAATGATCTTGTTGCCATGAATGACGAGGGTCAGCCTTCGGAGACATACGCTTCAAAGCTCGTACTCGGTGAGTTGAGCGTAGTCGTCGCCAACATGCAACCTCTGTTCACTAAGGCATCGCTGAGTTTTAAAAAAGCGAGGGCTATTCCGGTGAGTATATTCAGCGCTACGTGGTGCCTTTCACAAAGCAATCACCTCGCTCGACTCGTGGAAGCCGAGAAAGCACAAACATTAAAGCATTCACAATGTTTTGACGTGTCTTACGAATAGTTGTAAAGGGGTCATATCTCTCTTAATTATACTCAGTCTCCAACAATCATCCCAATACTTTTCGAGTCAGTTGTTTATTGCAATAATATGCAACAGAGAAGAAAAACCCAAGCGTTTTCGCAAATACGACTTCAAACCTTTCAAAATACACAAAATTCAACGACCAGCAGCACATAATGACGTGGAGACAGCCTTCCTCAACTCGTCATTATCGTCGATCTCGAATGCAGAGACACTGGCTGCTGCACGAGACAAGAGATTGTGGAGGAATCGAAAGTTGATGTGCTCTCCACGTTCATGAGCTGCAAAGTATGCCAAGATCTATTCGACAAAAAAAACAGCGACATGGTGGATGATGTTTCTGAACAAGACAGATTTAGTATACCTCATCACGATAGCTGATATCACGAGAAACATCACCAGTAGAGAGAGTACCATCATAAGTGGTATCAGGAGTTTCAGATCGTGAAGGACCAGAAACCACTTTCAATGGTTTTGCTGCTGCAGCAAGCCTACTTTTTGGAAAAAAAAGGTTAGAATGTCGAAAGAATGTATTGGTTCCAAATAACCACAAACTCACTGTGAAAATGACGTGACAGGAACCAGACTGCGTACACGATTAACACCTCGTTCCTGTACTTTGGGAGTCTGCTTGGCTGCAGCAACAGACCTCACGGTATGAGGCTTGGTCTGCTCTGTAGGCATATATCCGAAAGTTTCATGGACAGAAGCATCAGACGGTCGAGATTCTGTCTCTTGCTGTGCTTTTCGAGTTTCCGTGGGAGGCTTTGGACCAGCGACGACCTTCCTTTCTAATTTGATTGGCTCGGCTTTGATTTCTACAGGTCGAATCTTTTTTGTTGGGGTCGTGTCTGGGACGTAGTGTTCAGTCCCAATCCTGCGTCGCTTTTTGCTTTGCGAATACTCCAATGACTCTTCTAAAATCAAAACCAAACAACCACGTCAATGCTTAAAAAAATACAGATACGTCGATAGCATACTCACTGAGATAAGTCAGGAGACGTTTTTCCCAAACAGCATCATCACTCAACTGCTTTTCACTCTCGAAGAAACGAAGCAAAGCTGCAGAGCGACCCAAACTGTGCCAAATAAGCACCTTGCATAGTTTCTCGTGACAGTATGGACAGAGATGCAAGACAATATTCTGGGCTGCACGTCCTGGATTGAGGATGCATTGATAGTAGGAGCAAACTGGCAGCTTGAGTATGTTTGTGCAAATGGCACAAGCAAGGCTCTGTTAGAAAAAGGGAAAAGCGACACCCGTGGTAACAAAAGGTTCTCCTTGTGTCTTAATCTGGCAAAAATGTTGGATCTTTGTCCTACCTTCATGCCTGCTCTGACACCAACGTCTGAGACAATATCAATGTCAATAGGGTCCGCCCTACAAAGTCCGTGGGTATTAAGATTTCGTCTTGACAGCTGTCAGAGATTGTAGCAACCAGTAAGAGCTCAGTTTAAACATTCAGGGAAACTTACAAGCTGTGGTCATCCTTTGAGAGAATTGTCAAGCCGGGTAAGAAGAGCCTGATAAACTTGAGCATTGATTTGTAAACTTCATCTGAGACCTATAAAGATCAAATCGAAGATATAATTCAACTAACATCTGAAGCTGGTATACCATTTCTCCCTAAACTAGCCCTTACCACAGAGTTTCGAACATGAATTTGAAGCGGTCGTTTGATGTCATCCTTGTCCATGATCTCGACATAGTCATCAAGATACATAAACTCTGGGAAGTCATGGCTCTCCAAATATCGACTAAACAGACTCGTAAACTTTCGTTTCGAGTATGTTTGGAAGAGACCAAGTTCTGTTGGGGATCTCAAGATCCATTGAATTTCCTAATTGACATGAAGAATAAAGGGCAATTACATTGAATTTATATATGCGATAAGCCCACTTAAGGCGTTGGAAGCATACCCTGGCAGCATCGAGAGATAGAAGCTCATCTGCGTCTGTGTCGTTTCTGCGGCTCACGGAATTTCTAATGTCCTTGGTTTCCAGTGATTTTGAGGTGGATGGGGCTCTGTCTGGGATGAGAAGATTCATATCCGAATCTCTCAATGATTATTTACGAAAATTTCTTGGAGCGAACGACTCTAAGGCGACTCGTAAAAGTTCTGAGTCGACGCGGTGTGTTTCGTGACCTCGAAGTGAAGGTGAAGCGAAAAGGGGGTGAGAGAGACCGATCTTACATAAGTATTCACCTTGGAGCTTGTCGCTGTCTGAAGTTTGCTCTGAAGACGACGTCTTCAGCAATCGACCTAACGTAAAACACAGCAGAAGTTTGTGGGTTTACGTGGCGTCCGACAACATACTAATGCAGTTCAATTCATTCGCTTTGCACTGAGTATTCGCTTGATAAAGTGTTTCTCTATTATTTATGATACATGCAGGTTTGGAGGATGACAACAATGTCGCTTATGCTCTTCTCTTAACTGTCCAGCACAACCCATTTCACACCAACTACAACAGTCTCCTCCTAGTTTCCGCTTCAAGATCGTCTGCGTCAAATTCTGCGACAGAAGCTGCGCTTTGTGTGAGAAGATGGAGGAGGATTCTCCAGTTGATCTTCTCTCCACGAGCATTCGAAGCAAAATATGCAGCAATCTATGTAAATTTGGATGAATTTGGAGGGTCTTCCAACCATTGAAAACGCTGTTTTATACCTCATCACGGTATTTGATTTCACGTTCCGGGCTATTGCCATTGGTCAAGTGTGTTGGTGCAGGTGAAGCTTGAGTGGTTTTCTTCATCAGGGGAATCCTTGAAACAGGAATCATGCTTAGCACGAAATCCCTTGTCAACATAAGTTACATCAGACTTACTCGAGACCACTACTCTCCGAATCGTCCTTGGCCTTTGACACTCGTTTTTTTGGCTTTTTCGGTGATGATTTGAGCAGAAGGGTGGAAGTACTCGATTCGATAGTTGTCCTACGACCTGGTTTTATTGGGATTAGTGGGGTTAGTAATATCCCACCATTCGGTTATTTTGGTATCGTTGTTACGTTTTTGACCAATGGTAGCGGGCTCTTGGAGATTTTCAAGCGAGTCATCTATGATTTCAGAAATATCGTCATTAAAATGCCACCTCATCCAACGAGAAAGCGAGAAACCAATCATCATCCAACTGCCACCTCATCCAAAATACGAGACCTCGACTTACAGATGTATTCGTAAAGCTTTTGTTCCCACTCATAGCAGTCTTGAAGGTCTTCGGCTTTGAAGTAATTTGCAAGTTTGAAGGAGCGTTGCAAGCTGCTCCAACCCAGTAACTTGCACAATTTTTCATGACAGTATGGACAGAGATGGAGAACTACATAGTTCGAACTCTTTGTTGGGTTGAGTAAGCACTCGTTCTCTCCACAGACTTTCATTTTCAATAGTTCTGTAGCCACTGCTGCCGACAACAACTAGA